GTAGGGTTAGTAAAATAAACATTTTTCTAATTAATTTGGAGGAAAATGAGACAGAAAGTGCTTTTTGTCTGACTCTGAGGAAGAAAAGCAGTACCTAACTATGGTAAGATAGAAGACAAGGATACCAAAAGGCATAAAGTTGTTACAACAATAACATGTATTGTAATTTTGAACCTTGCTAATGTTGGATAATGCCTAAATATTTTTTTATGATAGGTCTAATATGTAGTCTCACCTTAGCCTTTTTTAAACCTCCTTTTCATTACTATAAGAGTTTGTATATCCACCAGGAAGGACATTTAACTATATTCTTAGCTCATTACACTGCATTACAATGGTTTTCTTAATAGCATTGCATTGCCTTAAGGAGCTCTTACATTATTTTTATACTGTAATTTAAGTATTTTTTCCTACCATCTTAGGGCCACCATACTGTATCTGGTCTTCAAAAATCTGAAAATTATTAGACAGCAGCAAAGAGATGCAGAAAACTCTAAATCTTTGTAGATGTCTGATTTTTATATTACTTAAAGCTAAATAATAACTGAACCCAAGTGAAAAAATAGGCAATGAATTTTAAGATCAAATTTAATTAATGAATCTAAGGTTCTCCAATGCAGAATTTTTGACTTTTCCTTAATCTTGTAAATGCAATCAAGAAAAAATAGTGGGTGGGGGGAATAGAAGAGCTGATACAGAATGGGTAAATAAATTTAACTATTAACATCTACCCAAACAATAATTGAGATCCAATCCAAAAGGCTAATTTATGGCACTGTAACAATACATGCTGAATCTCAATAAGCATAGTATCTCACTATGACACTGATGTAAATCTATCATATATATACATTTACTAAAAGCTTTTCAATTAATGCTGAATGCTGTCAAATTAACCTGATTATGCACAGCTTAAAAATATGCTGATATTACCAGCTGACTTAGATAGTTACTAAGATAATCAGAGTTGATCCTGTTATTTGTGCCTGAACTTGCAAACTGCCACCTTGTGGTTCTTCTAGGCTTTTGCTCCCAGCATTCACATACCAGTAATGGTCCTACCAAAATGTATTTTAAGCAACTGCTGAAAAAAGACTCATCTCCTCATTCATGATTTCTTTTTGTGAACATTAAGAATAAAAGTTTTATTCTCTGTCCTCTCACCTTTTAACAGATAACCCATTTATACCAAAAATTCTTTAAATAATTGTCTTTTAAGCACTGTTTTTTCTCTTTCATGGTAATTCTACACAACATTTTGTGTACATTGGGAAGGTAATGCCTATCATTTTAAAACAGCAGACATAATATATTGTGTACATGACTAATATTTAATTACACTAAACAAATTAAGACTAAACTTATGAACAGAAACATATTTTAGATGAGAAATATAAAAATGTCTCAAAGAAATTAATTTAAAAAGAATTTAAGTAAATGATTCATAAGTTCCAAAAAAGCAGATTTCTTTAGTAAAATTACATCATGTGATATACATGGTTAGAAATAATTGCTTCTATTAAAATGGCTTTCAAGTATCAGTAAAACAGTAAAACAAAACCTGTAGATAAACTTGTAAATAAAGTATCTGCAAATACAATCACCCTGCTAGTTATCTTGTTTTTTACAACTGCCTACATTCTCCTTTTTAATTAGTTTCGTATAATTAGTTTTTTTTTTTGATTATATGACATCTCCAGATCTCTGCTCTTCCTTGTTTATGAGGAGCAGCAGCAGCAGCAGAATACTGTTCATTAAGAGGGTGACCTAGCATAGGTAATACTGGATATTTATATATTTTAGATGTGGTCCTCTGTGAATCATGCCTTGTATTGTGTTTTCTTATTTTCCCCTCCTCCAGTTATTATCCTTCTTTCAAAAGGAACTGATGTCCCATTTGAGTTACTAAGAAAGTTTGTATCTTGTCACAGTTTTTCAATGGAAATAAATTCAAGCTGACAATCTGAATGCTTGATTTATCACTAAAGTATTGCCTGATTATTTGGTAAAAGAGCTACAAATACTGCCCTGAGCAAAAATAGTTTCTTTACAAAATTTATGGAAACTTCCTATCTCTGATTTCATCTGGGGAAGATGCAGGATACATCTGTGCATGCTTCTTATGTGGTAGCCACAATGACATCTGTTGTAATGTATGACAATTTGGCATTATAAAATTAATTTCTTCACATTTCTGTACTTTTTACAATCTGACAGACATTCATAATTCTGAATACACCTATTTCATAAGTGGAATTTAATTTTTTTAAAATCTCTCTAAATTAGTCTTTTTTTCTGGGGATTATTATCTTTATATGGTGGTAGAACCCTAATAACCTTGCTGCAAAAATCACTCTTGAATGCAAAGTCTAACAATGTGGAAATTAAAAATAATATACAAACCATTAAAAGAAGGAATTCCCAAATCAGATCACAAGGAGCTGATCAGATAAGACAAATTACAAAACCAGATTGTAGAATATCACAAGTAGATTTTCTACACCTGAACCAATTCAATTAGATAGTGAAGTATAATAGGCAAAAGAAGCTATAGAAGTAACAAGCGATAGAACGGGGGTATCAAACTTGCATCGACATGTGACGTAGCGAGACTTTTTTCCCTTTCGCTAAACCAGGCATGGGTGTGGCCAACATGTGAAGCATCTGGCTTACAGGCTGGGAGTTTGACAGCACTGCAGTAGAAAAACCCACTGAACTATCTATAGTTGCATAAGAGGAAATTGAAGTGCTAACAGGTCTGTCAATCAAAAGCAATTTAAAGTTGTAGTATCAACAGCTGCAGTTGGGCCCAGAAAAATGGTAGCTCTAAACAAGGCTCTTTCCACATATTACCATTCTCTATGGTGTGCCCACCAATATAATGATCATTACTTGCTGATCTTCTGTAATGTCTTATAGTGTATCTATCTGCCTCCTTCACTGAGTATACAAGGCCAGGCAATGGAGGACCAACAGGGCACGGATACACGGATGCAAGTGAAGATGGCATTGCTGGTTGCTGCAGGGACTGAAAAAAAGCAGTTGTCACCAAGGAACAGAGAGGAAGGAAGCAAACTGTCTTCCTGCTTGGCTGCAGGACTGTCCAGCCTAACTGCCAATGCTTACTAAAGTTGAGGGCAGTGACAGAGTCTCCTGTGTCTGAAGTCTTGTACTGTATGAGATGCAATTTTACTAACTTAGGGCTAACTGAGCTGTATTTTAAACAACCATTAGATGGCAGCAGGTATGTAGAAACTTCCAATGCATCCAGCTTTTTGTGGCACACACTATTATGTTTTTAATCCCAACTTAAAAAAAGAATTTCTTTGGTCAACTCAAGACAATTCACGTAATTTCTCATGTCTCCTATTTCCTCCTCACAACAATCCTGTGAGGTGGGTTGGGATGAGAATGTGTGACTGGCCTTAAATCACCCAACTGGCTTTTATACCTAGCGGAAACTTAGAACTCACAGTTTCCTGGTTCCTAGGTGAACATCTGAATCACCCGACCTAACTGGCTCTTTTTGGCAGTCCTAATACCCAATACCTCTCCCCCATACGTATGTATATGTGTGGGTATCTGTATGTGTGGATCAGTGGAAGAATAGAGAAATGTTTTACTAATTGTAAACTGCCCGGAATCACTGGGAGTCAAGTAGCATATATATTTAATGTTATTATGAGGCTAAAACTTGATGTGAAATACAATATACCCTACCTCAAAGAAAGACCACACTATATTTCTTTGAATGTTGCTTATTATTACTATTTCCCCACCTTGGCTCTTTCTACTTATCCACTAATAATACCAGCAAAAGCAAAAACATTTAAAGAACGGACAAGAGTTCATTTCTTAAGGGAATCCTTACAAGAATCTAATCTCAAATCCTTATTGCTGTCTCCAATTACAAGTCTGAGGTTCCCTGATGACCATTCAGGTTCTCCCTTTGCCAATTGGGAATTAAAAGAACCTCTGGAGGGCATCAGATAAAGAAAAGCTGCAAGAGAGATGCCTGGACCAGGAGCTAATGCATCGGGTGCTGTTTATTATTCCAACACTGCTTGTGCTTTGCCCTAAGATTTAGGAATACTCCATTCAATCTTGAAAGCAAGAGGTGAGTAACCTGAAAATACATTGTAGCCTAAGAAAATTGCAGGTACTAGAAAGGACTTTAGAAAGATCAAGTTGGAAGGACTTGGAAAGTGGCTGCCAGTTAAATGGGCTGCTTAACCTTGGCAACTTTATGATGCTTGATCTTCAGCTGCCATTCCCCAGCCAGCAAGATGGGTAGTTAGGGAATTCTGGGGTGGAAGTCCACACATCTTAAAGTTGCCAGCTTTGAGAAACTAGACTCGGCCTCTCCTCATCTATGGATCCGGAGCACAAGCAGGCAACTTCGAAACCTCTGCTGTTGGTAGGTGATATTTTGATTTTGTAGCGCGACTTAAGGATCACCTAAGGCAGGGGTCTCCAACCTTGGCAACTTTAAGCCTGGCGGACTTCAACTCCCAGAATTGAAGCTTTGCTGGCTGGGGAATTCTGGAAGTTGAAGTCCGCCAGGCTTAAAGTTGCCAAGGTTGGAGACTCCTGACCTAAGGCAATGGGACTTTACCGTAATGGCAACGGTCTGACCTGCCAGTGCAAAAATACAACGTTCGCTTTGCTGTCAGCTCGTTCTGCGTGGAACTGGCCAGAAAAACGGATAAGAAAAGTGTCCCAAAGGTGCTTTTCCAAAAGGCAACTGGACTTTCTTGTTTTTTTTCCTTGAACACGTTTCGCTTCTCATCCAAGAAGTTTCTCCAGTTCTGAAGAACTGTCTGTCTTTTGGAAAAGCCCCGTTTGGACAACCAAGACCTGAATGATTGAGAACCTTGGTAGACGTTTGGACAAGGTGAGTCGCCTCCTCCATCGCTCCGTGGGCGTGGCCACACGTGCGGTCCTTCAGAGCGCCCGCACTTTTACCCGCCGGATGTTCCCTTGTTAGTTCCCGGAAGTGACGTCGCCCAGCGCTAACTCGCCCTCCTCCTCCCCGGCGGTGGCTGGCTGCGGCAGCTGCAGAGGCAGGAGGGGCTGGCGGAGGCGAAGCAGCAGCCGTGGAATATGGCGGACGGCGTGGATCACATAGACATTTATGCCGATGTAGGAGAGGAATTTAACCAGGTAGAAAATTGTGCGCGGCCGGCTTTCAACGGGGACGTTCCAAGCCAGAAATGGCACGGGGGGGGGGGGAAGGAGAGAGGCCTGCAGTTTTGAGGGGCAGAGCGTGGCTGGCTGGTGCGGGCCTCTCAGCGCAGGGGGGGGGGGCGGGAAGCCGGCGCCATTGTTGACTGGCGCTCACCAGCGGCCCCGCGCGACTTTCCCGCCTGGCGTTTGGCATGGCCGCACACCGGCTGTGCTTAGCGTCCGGAGGATCTCACGACAGGGGCGCGGCATCGTACCTTGAATGCGCCTTTTCTCTCTCCCCCCCCCTTCCTCCCCGCTCCGCCTCTTCCTGACGAGGCTCCCAAGCGCCGGGAGACAATAAGCCGAAGGAGGAGTCTTCTCTAAGACTCCCGTAGTGTTTATTCCCCATTCCCCCGGCTCTCTCCCTTGAGGAAAGAGAAGCTGCAACGCCGCGGCCCCAAAACACGGCGGCCTATTAAGCTCTACAATCGTTGTGGGGAAAATAGGGCTTCCACGGCCTCCCTATCTGTCGCGGATCCATCCGGGTGATCGCTTTTAACCTGTAGGAGATAAAAAAATAATCCCCCCCCCCAAAAGAGTTTGCGGTTCCCTTGGTGCCCTCTTTATTTTTTCACAAAATGATTCGGTGTAATGATGGCAACGTTCGATGTGCAAGTTTTAATAATAAACTCGATTATGCCAGAATGACATTTCCGTTACTTTTTAAGAAGTATCGGCTTCCACAGATTAATTCATAAAGATTAAATGGGCGTATTTCACATGTTTGGGGAAATTTTACTTTTGAAATCAGTAGAATTGAACAGAATTGTAAAACGGTTCGATTGCATAACTATGGTCCCAGTCAACGACAGCATTAAATAGCATACTATCTACCATATGATGTAAGGCTGAGCAATTTGGCTCTGTTCTACCTTGGCATACTCAGTCATCTATTTTGTTTCTCCTATGTTATCATAGGATATTTATTTTAAAGCAATGTATTTCTAATAATCCCCCCCCCCTGTGTGTGTGTGTGTGTGTGTATAGTAGTCAGTATTCCAAGTATTCAGCTTAAGAAAACACACACACACACGCACACGCACATATATATATATTTCTGTTTGATATGTTAATTTCTCTGCTTTCTTTGCATTCTTCCATATTTTAAAATTATTGTTCATTAAGAAAGGAGAAATTGTCAAAATAGATGCTAGAGAAATTAGGTCTGAGCTTCTGACATATTTATAAAAAGCTTACAGGTTTATGTCTAGTCCAACAGCCCATATTAGTTCATATGTGTTCTGCTTATTTATAAGGTTCAAAGTACTCCTGTTATCTCCATTTTTGACATCAAAGTTAGGCTAGCATATACGATTTACTCATTAAAATCAATGCAACATAATTTAAAAAACCATGAGAGGGAAATAATCTATATATTCATCCCAACTTGACTTGGCTACAACAAACTGTCAGTACTTGAACTATCTGAATAACAATCTTCCCTTTATCATACTCTGGATTACAGTTTTATAGCTCTTCTCTATATCAAGCATTCAAAGCTCTGCATCCAAAAATTTTTTCCAATGCAAAGTAATTTTCCATTGGCTAATCAAATGCAGAGTAACAATTAGAGTATGGGTAGTCCTCAACTTACCATCACAATTGACTCCAAAATTTCTATTGCTAAGCAAGACAGTTGTTAAGTGAGTTTTCCCCAATTTTACAACCTTTATTGCAACAGTTGTTAGGAAGTCAAATCTGGCTTCCCCATTGACTTTGCTTGTCAGGAGTTGCAACAGCTAGTAGCATAAACCTGGAACACTGCAAGTATCATAAATAAATGCCAATTGCCAAGAGTCTGAATGTTCATCAAGTGATCACAGAGATACTGCAATGATCATAAGTCACTTTTTTACGTTCCGTTGTAACTTTGAATAATCTAAAATAATGGTTGTAGGTGAAGGACTTCCTATACTTACAGTCCTGAAAAAAATATTCTCTGAAAATTCCAACTGGTCAGATAGTCCTCAATTTATGAGCACAATTGAACCCAAAATTTCTTTTGCTAAGCAAGATATTTGGTAAGTGGGCTTTGCCCCATTTTACAACCTTTCTTGTCACATTTGTTAAGTTAAATTAAAAAGACTTAGTAATTAGTATTTAACAATGCAATTAATTAATTACTAATACTTAGTAATTAGTATTTAACAATGCAACAAACAATTGCATTGTTAAATTAGTATCACGGTTGTTAAGTGAATCTGGCTTTGCCATTGATTTTACTTGGGTCACAAAAGGTGCCTCCAGCATGCCTCCAGGACACTGCAACCATCCTAAATATGAGTCAGTTACCAAGCACCTGAATTTTGAACACATGACCAAGAGGATGCTGCAATAATCATAAATGTGAAAAATGGTTGGTTGTAAGTCACTTTTTCAGTGCTGTATTAATTTTGAACAGTGACTGAACAAACTGTTGTAAGTCGAGGACTTCCTGTACTTAAGTGTAGAACTTGGCAAAAGAATCCAAGGAAAAGTAGTCTGTAGTGGGTTTGCTCTGTGCTTTTGCATAATTGGCTTGATCATAAGTCATAGTCCATTGCTTTATATTTTATTACTATTGTCATCAAGTGCAAACAGCACATTTGTTATGAATTCTAAATCTATACTCATAGTAGTAGTGTGACTCTTTAAATTTTTAGTGTTTGATTTCTCATATTTAAATGTAATTTGAATATTTTAATAGCAGGAAATATTTACACTTAGCAACTTCTGTATAGTCCATACAGATAATATTGCAAAGATGTTTCAAAAGATATCATTCCCAGAAATTTGGACACAAGTGAGATAGGAGAACTGGATGGTTTTACAAGATACAGAAGTGTATTGCAGACACATTATTGAATGTTCAAAGATAGACTTCTCCCTTATTGATTACATTTATGGCACTAGTTTTACCCTGTTTATCTAAATAGAAAGTAAACATAGTTAGATAACGTGATAGAGTTGTGCAATGCCTTTCTCCTCAATCTTATCAGTTTAGGTCAGTGGTCACTAACCAGTAGGCTGTGGCCCACTGGTGGTAAGGCCTGTGGGAACCCTCCCCGCCCACTTACTCCTTACCTGGCAAACTTGCCTGTTAAGTTGCTATTTTTCCTTTTTCTGACCATCAGCTGTTCTGCTGTGCCGGGAGATGTAGATTAGCTAGAAAGCAGGAAATCGTTGGGTTTCTTGCTTTCTAGCTATTCTTTAGATCTTCGGCTCTGCTTTTAAGCCGAGCCGAACCTCCCTTAGGACTGAAGGTTCTATTATTCAGTTGCAGACTCAGATAGCCAATTGCAGAAACACGGATCTCTAAGTGAATCTGTGATTCTGTGGGCAACTCAATCTGCCTGCCTACTTTGCCTGATTTTGGTAAAAGTTGCTCTTTTTTATAAGAAATTAAATATTTATATAAATATTTATAATATTTACATACAAGCCATGCCTAGCTGGTCACATGACCAAGTCACACCCAAGAACCGGTTGTTAAGAAATTTGAATCCCACCCCTGCCTGTGTGTGTGTGTGTGAGAGAGAGAGAGGGAGGGAGGGACAGAGGTTAGATTAGATTTCTCCCTCTCCTCCTCCTCCCTCCCTCCCTCCCCCCCCCGATTTAAAATTATGAGTTTGGCGGTGTCTGAGGTCCAAAAGGTTGGTGACCCCTGCTTTAGGTTGCCAGCTTTAATTGAAACTAATCCTAGAGACCCCAGTGTACTCAAAAATATATGGCACATGTATGTATACGTACTATGTATATGTGAATACCTAGTTGCCTGAAACCCAGTTCCGAGAAACCCAGGGCGAAACAATAAAGAGGAAGTTGTAGAACCTAAGCACTCATAGACATGCTTAGGATTTGGATGGGAGATCACCAGAAAATAGCAAGCTTGGTGTTGTTGGGTGCATAATCAACTCAGGCTGTATAATGATGTCTTCAAGTTAAACCCTTTCCTTGTCTGCAACTTCTTGAGGATGTTGGGATTAAATTACTGAGTTGTTTCTCTTAGACTTCCTGAAACATTACTTATTGAATGGGCTGATAAACATGATAGCAGGGAGTTTCAGATATATTAGATGAATGATTAGTTCCTCTCTGCTGGACATCACTGTACCTTGGGCCTTTGTACCAGGGATTTCCAAACGTGCTGTATCAAGAATTGGAATGTTTATATAGTCATCATTGCAATTGGAGATCAGTGTAAAATGGTGGTCCTCAATGGGATTTGATAGTAGTACTGGAGTTTTAGCATTGTAGCTGGAGTTATATATAATGAGTGGCATATCAACATAGAAAAAACTACCTGTAATATTACTTTTAATAAAGATCAGCATCTGTAGCTACTCTTTGCTTCTCAACTCCAGTTAGAAGAAGTAGCTCTACAAGTGCATCTTCACATAGTAGATAGTGATTATTGACTCATTGGGAGATGAAAGTGCAGTGAAGCTGACAGATACAGTAAAAAGCTTGGAGTATCTGGCATGTACCCTGGAATGATAAGATTGAGAGAAACCTTGATTTGCTGGAGCAATTTTACAGTGATCCTGCAGAAAAACAAGCAATCTAACTCATTTATTCTCTGGATTTTTTAATAGGAGCCATGCCATAGGAATCAGTATTGCTGTTTGTGGGATGATTCTTGAAAATGATGAGTTTCCATTGTTTTCCATCTTTAGATTTCCCTGCAGAAGCAATATTTAACCGAAGTTTTTGATGATTTATGAGCACTGCTTGACCGCTTCATATGAATCAAAGAACAAAATTAAAGATATTCCAAATGTGTCACATCTCTATACATCTCTTCAAACCCATTCGGGGATTTGATTGTGGATGTATTTTATATTCTATAAAGATTCAATGCCCTTGTAGTCTGTTTTGTATTAAATGAAAAAGGATTAAATATCACTTTCTTTTGCCTGCATGTGAGGTGATATGAAAAAGTTCAGGCATCCTTTTATTGGGCTACTTTTTCCTCTTCTAATGTTTTTATTCTTGCTACAATAACTGGAGTCTTGAGAAAAATTGTCTATGCCTCTGGTTCAGAGTGGTGGTGTTGAAGTTTGACCACAATAGGCACATTTCTTGCAACTATCATTCATGTTTCATAGTGCTGACTAAAACCCAAGAGAAATATTATACAGAAATATTTTTTGTATGTGATTTTGCATTTTCATTTGTAAAGTTACTTTTGAGAATGTGTTTTAAAGTCTTTTTCCTTCTTGGACATTTCTCATACACTTAGTCCTCAACTTATGACTGTAATAGAGTCTGACCATTACATTAATAAAGACGTTATAGTCACCCACATGTTACAGCTGTTTTGTGGTGGTCATTAAACAAATCTATGGTCATTAAGTGAACCCATAGTATTCTCTGGAGCGTTTTTGCTGAAAACTGGAAATAAATGCCAGTTTGGAGCAAAAATAAGTCACAGTCATGTAACTGCAGGACTCTGCAAGTGGCTATGAGGACCAGTTGTCCGAAATGTGGTTACATGACTCTGGAGGACAGCAGTTAAAACATCAGAACCAGGTTGTAAGTACTTTTTTTTGGGGGGGGGGGGTCCATTGTATGTTGCTAAGCCACAGGTCATAAGTTAACCCTCTGCAATTTATAAAATCCTTCTGTCTCCTGGTAGTTTACACCTATAATGACAATAGAGTTATTAGGAATGCTATAAATTCACTAAACATTAATACATGTTTAAAGGATACATAACTTTTGGATACATTCTTTCTTTTTTTGAAGTTAAGTACTGTATTTTTTTTTTGCAAGGAATGGTTGTTTTTGCCAAATGTAATTGGAAGGGATGGCTGACTTCACATATTACGCTAAAGCAAGGATAATGCAGTTTTTCCAGACTGAGGACTGCCCTATTTTTGAATAGCAGGCTTGGAACTCTGCTCCAGAAGGGATAAAATTTTGACAAAAACTATCCTTGAATTAAATTAATACAACTAAAATTTAAATCCTTTCTTAAGTTAAGTACAATATCTGGTGATTCAGTATAGTTTTCTTGGCAGTAATATAGAAATAGCTTTCTCTTGACTTCTTCCAGAAAGTTTTCTCAACTTTGTAGTCTAGTCTAGAATTTTTTTAGTGGCTTTTCATTGAAGTATTAACATGTTTCTGTCCTGCTTAGCTTTTTGTTTTCTATGTATTTAGTAAATTTGCCAACTGGTACATTTAAAATCAATGACAGAAAATGTAGATGAAAAATTGCTGCAAAAGTTACTATGTTAAAAATAGAACATCAAGTTATATTATCATATAAGCCTGTCAAGAAAGTTTATTTGCTGCTTTTTCAAGTTGCCATCTAATCTGAATATTTTTGATTTTGAAGATTGATTTCCCCTTCTCTGAGAAATTTGCTGTGACAATTTGCTGAATGTTATGAGGAAATTGCTCATAACTATATTGACGTATATGCTAGATTTTAAACAGATTGAAGTGGGATGTCTAAATTAGTTTTGTGAAATCAGTTTTTGTTCTTTTTGAGTAGATAACCACTATGCCTTTAGTATCAGTCCAGATCACTTCACTGCATGATAAAAGCTTCTTCGTTGAAGGTCATAGACATAATCTCCCATGCTGACCCAATGTGAGCTGGTAACTTTTGACTCCCCAGTATGGGCTGAGAGAACACGAGTGCCCCCAAATTACCCAATTTTGACTTCCATTCCTAGAGGAAAGGACTAGAACCTGGCTTTTATTCTTCGGCATCTTAACTACTATCCACATTGGCTTTCTTGTATATTAAAATTAAATACTTGGTTATCTGGGAGGCTAATTAAGGAACAGATGCAGGAAGTAGTAGTTACCTGGCCATGAGATGGCCTTTATCTAAAACATAGGACGGCTGCTTAGGTTCATAGCTATTAGGTGTTATGCTAAAAGTCTGTTAATTTAGAAGGGTAAGGGGAAACCTCAAATTTAACCCATGAAATATAAAGTGATTTGCAATTTTGTACTGATGATTGTAGGCAATCAATTACTGCATAATGGCTTCATTTCTAATCTCATTGAACCATGTCTATAAGTCTTCTAAGAAGTCAAGCCATGAAATCTCGGGTGGGATTTACTGCTGAACCCAGGATAAAGTAATGAAAATTTGGGGGCCCCATTTGTAATGGATAAGATAAATCAATTAGTTGCATGTGGTTTACACATTTTTAATACTTTTTAAGGTAACATTTTAAACAGTAGAAATGTGTTTTGTCTTGCTTTAGAATATTTTAAATATGTTATTGATCTTAATTTTAATGTATAATTTATTTTTCCGGTATAAAAAGATCCTAGGATAATTAGTGTAAAGAAAGAGCACGTGCAACTGTAACTTTTTTTAAAGGAATTTAGATATAGACTTGTCTAAAGCAAAATAAGAACTGATCATTAATATTTATACATTGTCTTTTAGGAGGCTGAATATGGTGGGCATGATCAAATAGACCTGTATGACGACGTCATCTCTCCATCTGCCAATAACGGCGATGCACCAGAGGATCGTGATTATATGGACTCTCTTCCACCATCTGTTGGAGATGATGTGGGCAAAGGATCAGCACCAAATGTAGTCTATACATATACAGGAAAGAGAATTGCATTATATATTGGGAATCTTACTTGGGTAAGTACTGGATTAGTTACAGCTGTATAAGTCATTTAGTCTGTAATCAATTTAATTCAGAATTATTTAAGTTTAGTAGTCACTCTAACATTTGTTGGTAAACAGTTTTTCTAAAATCTTGTTTGAAGTGCAAACACGAAACTTTTTTCCCCTGTGGAACATGAACTATTGCTGAACTATAACTGTGATTGTAATATACTTCTTAGGATTTGTAATCAATAATAGACGGTGAAACGAACTTGCAGCTTGCTTATTTTTAAAATAGGGAATATGTTGGGGCATAAATTTATGCATTATGTTGAATATTATTGTTGTGAGTGGTGTATTGAGAAAAATATTGCGCTCTTTTGCTGTTAGAAAATGTATTTACAATTGTTTTGCAGTGGACCACAGATGAAGATTTAACTGAAGCAGTTCATTCACTTGGTGTAAATGATATTTTGGAGATAAAATTTTTTGAAAACCGTGCTAATGGACAGTCTAAAGGGTAAGAATTCAGCACAGATGCTATTTCTAAAGATGTGTACAGTATATTTTAATCTTGAAAGACCATGCTGATGAATGATTGGGGGGGGGAATAGGTGGGAAGACCACCAGAGATCAGAAAGAGAAAATTGTAATAATTTTAGCAGAATCGGATTGCAATAATAGCTGAGACAATCTAGAAAAAGTATTTCTGGAAAACTTGGTAGTGTAAGAAATAGTTACACATAGAAATATAAGTCATGATTATAATTATTGAGAGTTACGGTGGGATATTCTAAGTGTTTGAATATAATATGCCTATGATTTCACACTGAGCCTCAATGACGCAGTGGTTAGAGTGCAGTACTGCAAGCTATTTCTGCTGCAGCCACAGCTGCCTGCAATTTGGTAGATCGAATCTCACCAGGTTCAAGATCGACTTAGCCTTCCATCCTTCTGAAGTGGGTAAAATGAGGACCCAGATTGTTGGGGACAATATGCTGACTCTGTAAACTGCTTAGAGAGGGCTGTGACACACTATAAAGCGGTATATAAGTCTAAGGGCAATTGCTATTATGCTAAATCATAATGTGGCTTGGTTTATCATGTTATTCACCTTTTAGGGATATGTTAAGAATCCTCATCATAAGATTATATTGTCTGTCCTCCAGATTTGCTCTTGTGGGTGTAGGATCTGAGGCATCTTCCAAAAAGCTGATGGACCTGTTGCCCAAAAGAGAGTTACACGGTCAAAATCCTGTTGTAACTCCTTGTAATAAGCAATTTCTGAGTCAATTTGAACTGCAATCGAGAAAAAGTAAGAATTGTTCTGGACTACTTCCTATGAACTAGAAAAACATTTTGGGTGGAGGTGGGATAGAAATTACCAATTACTATATTACATATTTGAATGATTAATACTTTTTATATAATCTGCTATTTTTCAGTCTCATTTATTGAAGGTCTGTCTTGTTCAAACTACTGTTGAAGACTGCTGGAAATAGTATGTTTTGGAAGTAAAAGAAAAACATGTTTCCTTGGTTTTAGTAACAAACTATTCATAGGGATTTTTAACTATATGGCTCAAAATTATTTTTATAAAGTTTTTTGAATAGAATACAAGCACAGCATGTTTTATTTTTTAAGGGCTACATATTTCCTGATTTTTACTGTTTTAATGAATTAATTAAAGCACTATGTTTTTAATATGACACTTAAAGCAGGACATCTTTTTTCAGACTTAGGCGGAAGTCTGAAAAACAGACACTGCTTTAATGAAGAGCAAAGAGTGCTGCATCTGTGTAAGGTCCAAAACATTTATTCTGAACCATTTTATAAAATGTGCAGAGTTTTACTATTTCATGTCTTCTATATAAGAAAATGGTAACAGTTAACTTGAATGCCTGTGCAAGTCCCATTAATAAGGTGGTGGTTCTTGTATTCATGAGTTCTACAACTGAATTTGAACTGTTTTCTGTGTTACTAATTTACTTTTATATTGTAATAGAAAGTCTCAAGAATGTTTACTATGTAATTCCTTAAATTAAATACTGGTTTACTTGTATGGATAAGTTATTTTGCTCCCTGAAGGTACGCTTTACTGCCTGTCTTGTAGAACAAAGCTACACTTCCATAGAAATAAACCAAAAGTTGTTTTCTTTTGAAGAATGTAAGTTCCTAGTGTGCCTATTGGTATGGGGACTATTTCAGGCACCTGAAGTTGATTAAGCAATTTGGATATTCTGCTATTTAATCACAGTAGTGAGCAATATAAGTATCACAAGCAAAGAGGGTGAATCAGATTTCCATCAGATGTGGTTTGTGATCTTTATTTCAAAAATCCTTTTAGATGTTACTGAAGAAACAATAAAGACCATGTCAAAATTAAGCAAATTAAACAAATTAATACTTTGTTCAGGGATTTTGGAAATGCTTTTTCAACGCTCACGGAAACACTATAGATTATCTCATGGGTCATTTTGGGAAAAAAAACCTGAAATCTCATTGGGCACACTTAAGTCTAAATGTATGTATAATACAGGTAATCCTTGACTTACAACAGTTCGCTTAGTGACTGTTCGAAGTTACAACAGCACTGAAAGTGTCTTACGACCGTTTTTCACACTTTATGACCATTGCAGCATCCCCATGGTCACATAATCAAACTTCAGATGCCTGGCAGTTGACTCATATTTATGACTGGGGTCATGTGAACACCTTTTGCAACCTGACAAGCAAATGGCAAGTCCAGGTTCACTTAACAACCATATTATTAACTGAACTGCAGTGGATTCACTTAACAACTGTGGCAAGAAAAGGTCATAAAATGGGGCAAAATTCACTTAACAAATGTTTCGCTTAGCAACAGAAATGTTAAGCTCAATTGTGGTTATAAGTCGAAGACTACCTTTAACTTGAATTCTAGCCTTAAAAGTATTTTAAGATCTTAAACTTTAGTAAATAGAAAAAAAAACCCTAAGAGAATGGCAAATTCTTTTTTTCTTAGTAAAAATTTCTTTGTTCAATTTTCTTCAAGAAAAACATACAGAACAAAACTCTAAGACCATGTTGCCTGTAAAACAGAATTGCCAAGGAAAACTATAATTGACATAGAATAAACCAGTTTAAAAGTCTTATTAATTCTATAGTACACTTCAGAGACTTTATTTCATTAACTGCAGCTACACAATCTGGCCAGATGTCTGGTGAAGGAAAAGCTGGTCCACCGGGAGGCAGTTCACGAGCAACTTTTCCTCCAAGTAACAGAGGGCGGGGCCGTTTTCCAGGTGCCCTTCCTGGAGGGGACAGATTTCCGGGACCAGCTGGACCCGGAGGGCCCCCTCCACCTTTTCCAGGTAAAGTATTTCTTGCTATTTTGCAGTTTTGTTGTCCTGCAGAGGTAGGAGCCTTGAGGCTTTTTATTTTGTTCCTGAAATTTAGGAATAGTGCAGAATCAAATATTGAAGTATTATATATTGAACTAAGACAAGTATAAAACAGTTTTGCAATAAATAGGAACAAAAATGTAAAATATTTTAATTTTTGTTGCTGTACTGTAAACTAATTGTTTCTCTTCTATTAAAATACAGGCATTCTGCTTTTTTCCTTTGAAACAGTAGTCAGTTTAGAATAGAATGAAACTCCTTTTAAAATTGGCTGCTAAAAGCTTTCCTAAATTCTGTAAAATAAAATGAATAACAGTATAATTTATTAAATTTATATTTCACCTAATTCCCAGCAAGACTCAGTAGTATGGTATGGTAGCTTTATTTATAAGGTTTCTTCCATATTTGGTCATTTTCATTTTTATTTACTTTGATGGTATACTTTTTCTGGTGTTCTGCTGTTGATACTTCCCTTCTGAGTCAATACTCAAACTGAGAGCCTTTTAAATAAAAGAGATAAGAGGAAGAAAACTGCTTTGAATAATTCTTTTGAAGGAAACAAATTGCAAATAGATGACATTAATGAGCTTGTCGATCAGAAAGGTCATCCGTTTGGCAGTTCGAATCCCTAGCACCGCATAACAGAGTGAGCTCCTGTTACTTGTCCCAGCTTCTCCAACCTAGCCATTCGAAAGCATGTAAAAATGCAAGTAGAAACATAGGGACCACTTCAGTGGGAAGGTAACAGCATTCCGTGTGTCTTCGGCATTTAGTCATGCCAGCCACATGACCACAGAGACGTCTTCAGACAGAGCTGGCTCTTCAGCTTTGTAACGGAGATGAGTACCCCCCACCCCCTAGAGCCGGAAATGACTAGCACATATGTGCGAGGGGAACCTTTACCTAATATGATTACTGTTATTTTTATTTCAGTCTTTATCCTTCCTTTGCCTAGAAAGGGGAGAATTAGAATCTGACATCTATTTGGATTTTATTGCAAATTTTTTATGTGTTTGGAGAAAACATGGGCAGTAGAATATTAATAATAGACATTTTTCCCTCCCTCTTTAGCTGGACAGACTCCTCCACGTCCACCTCTAGGTCCTCCGGGTCCACCAGGCCCACCAGGTCCTCCTCCACCTGGCCAGGTTCTGCCTCCTCCACTAACTGGTCCTCCTAATCGTGGTGACCGTCCCCCTCCTCCAGTTCTGTTTCCAGGACAACCGTTTGGCCAACCTCCATTGGGTCCACTTCCGCCTGGTCCTCCACCCCCAGTTCCAGGCTATGGTCCTCCACCAGGTCCTCCACCCCCACAGCAAGGTCCTCCTCCACCTCCAGGTCCTTTCCCTCCTCGTCCACCTGGTCCTTTAGGACCACCCCTTACACTGGCTCCTCCTCCTCACTTACCTGGGCCACCACCAGGTGCTCCCCCTCCTGCCCCACACGTGAATCCAGCTTTCTTCCCCCCACCAGCCAACAGTGGCATACCTACATCAGACAGTCGTGGTCCACCCCCTTCAGACCCATATGGCCGACCTCCACCATATGACAGAGGTGATTATGGGCCACCAGGCAGGTGAGTATGCCTTTTGCATTTATAACATTTATTGACAAGGGAATTCTAGAGCCCATTTGGATAGTATTCTCTCATTTGGGACAAGGGATATTCAGTATCTGATGTCATTAAAACAGTATTTTCTTAATTTTAACCTCCCTCTGAGTATTTTATGACTTTGGGATTCTAATGTTCTGCTGAAAAGAGTTCTAGAATTCTCTGCAGTGGGGAATATCTGTCATTTTTCATTAGAAAGTGATACAAAAAGAAAATACATTTCACCAGGGAGAACTGCTAAAAGAAATTTGAGGCTCATAATTGCAAAAAAGTGTATGTAGAGCTCACCCATATTTTAGCTGAATAGTCACTGTTCCTCTTTGTTACTATTTGCTTCCCAGGAGTGTTGTGATACCTGCCTACCAAAGCAGTGTACGAAACAGTTGATTAAAAATGCTACTTAGATTTTTTATCTTCCATTCATTTACATATTTGTTTGTTTTTGTCCTTTATGTATTATATGTAAGCCTTTTAAAGAATGTATTCTGAATATTATTTTAATGAGATATCATACTACATCTCTTGCCTTCTGTAGATTTGCTTTTAACTTTAAATATCCTTCCTTTAATGAGTCCTTTACTCACAAAAACAGCTAACCCTTATGCAAGGAGATGCTTCTGTTTGGACAATAGACATGGCTTTTGCTTTCTTCTGCCTCTTATACATAGATACCCATCTGCTCTGGAATGTTAAAATTCATATTCTGACAGACAGAGTTCTCTCGGTGTCATGATAACCTATAATAAGTTCAAGTATCTACTGTCTTAAAGTTTAAGCGATAGAGTTTGGCTGGTTTGAAGGAATAAAGTTGTTTTGGACCCTGTGTGGATACAGATAGCTCTGCAGTTGCAGAGAGCAAACATGCAGTCCTGAGGAAAAAAAAGTATCTGTGTTTATGGAGTTATTGCAAATACTATAAGAGTACACTTAGGTATACAAAAGCACTTTTTCCTTTCAGATTCAAAATACAACAAAGCTCTACTAAGTAGTCAGAATTCGAGAGCGTCCTCTAATAAAACCTTTGTGGATTGTCTTACTTTGGCATGTTTTTCTTTTCAGTCTGCTTTACCTGTATATAGAAATCTTCATTTGCAATATCTATTGTCTAGAACAACCAGGCATTGTAATAGAGTCTGAGAATCTTTTCAGATGGCAGAATCTATGAGGAAACACCAATTACAAAATAAAGGATGACATCAGGCATATTGCAGTGTATTTGAGCAGTACCTTTTCAATATTCAGCTTATGAATATCTATAGTGACTTCACATGACTGCTTCATCACTCCATATTTCAGTTTTTAACATCCACTTATTTATTTTCTAGCTTCATTTTAAAACATGCTGTAGGCTTATGGTGTTTCTTTATATTTATTTTTTGATGGTATTTATATTATGTTAATGTTATAGCACCTCTCAAAATTTTGTAGATTGTGATACATAATTTTTTTTGCATGTTGTGAGGCTTTGTGGGCGTGAAGATTTGTTAAATAAGTATCATAGTTTTTTTTCTGAAACATTGAGTCCAGTAGTATTAATTTATTTGTGGAATTAACATCTAAAAATTTAAAATATAAAATGTAAGAAAGCTTATTTTTATAAAGTTAAAGCATTATGCATAATTGCTTGAAAGAATATGCAAAGAACTCAATAAATTTATATTTTTATATAGAGAATTTAATAAGCAAAGGAGGGCTGAGGGTGGTGAAAGGAGAAGTAGAACCTCTGCACATAATGACCAATATTTTCATGATGATCTCAACTACAATCCATAATTATATTTAAATTGTCAATTATATATCATAGGCGTTTCACTGGAAATAACATGTCCATAAGAGAACAATTACATATGCCATTGTATTGGAGACAAACGAAAAATAATACTCAAAACGCAGGGAGGTATGAATTTTTAGACATTTCCTCTTATGCTAAATCAGCTGTAGGATCTTGATCCACTTCTTGCTCTTAAGAGGATAGAATTGCTTATTCTGCATTTTCTTTCTACCAGAAGAACTAACATTTGCAAGAAACATTTCTCAAAAGCAATTTAAGCCATATAATTTACAATGCTTGGAAGGAATATGAAGAACATATAGTCTAACATCACACAAGGCATGATCTCCTTTCTAAGTGTCTCAGTGAAATTACGTGATTTTGATTTGTATTTGTTACAAGCTGAGGGGAGGAGAAAACAGGTTAATTAATTACATCTTGGGCACAGCAGAGTGTCTCTAGAAGGAAAAAGGGCACTCTGTTCATGTTGTCAGTCTTCAGATCTTGTTTAAGACAGAGATTGACAGATGTCACAAAGTTCAAAAGGGCACTAGCAGAATAAGTTAACATTTTCTATCTCCAATTTTAGGCAATTAAGTAATTAGCCAAGTGTATAGCCATCACATTACCTTGCTTATGTGTACTATATCATTACAGAACATAGAATATTTTTAATTCTTGGCACAATTTACTCATTGTTCCTTATAAAAAATAAGCATATGTATTGAGGCCATACTTGTTGATTGGGGCAACTTTGGTTTTGTACCTGAATTATCATACATTGATTGACAGAAGTTTTGTAAGCATCTGAAGTTTTCTGAAGGTGGAAAACACTGCATAAATATATCAGATTTGTTGCTTTTATGATAGTATACTTTTTTCTCTCTAGCTTGCAGGTTTTGTATTGCAAAGAAAAAGCTTTCCTTTATGTGTTTTGCTTATAATTCCATACTAAAATTACTGTAATAATTGTGCTACTGGGAGTAAATAAAAATGAAATTGTGTCTGTTTGCAGAGAAATAGATGCTGCAAGGACACCATTAAGTGAAGCAGAATTTGAAGAAATTATGAATAGAAATAGGGCTATCTCTAGCAGTGCCATTTCAAGAGCTGTATCAGACGCAAGTGCTGGTCAGTATATTTAATTTATGACTTTTCTATAATTTGTATTTACATGTAAGCAAGAGATGAACTGGAAATAATATAGGGAGTAAAGCTTTCTGATCAATGTATTATAAGGATATTTATTGCTTATTGCTATGCTTATCTAAAGGACTAGTTCCTCCTATGTGAATTGGGACATTTCTTCTGGAAAGGTAATTTTTGTGGCTTTATTTTCTTCTATATAACTTCCAAGGGCAAGGAAGTGGGGCTTTTTTTCTGAAGCACAAAAAAAGTATACGTCTACACCGGATGTTGGCAACCCATGGCTCCAGAGCTGCATGCGGCTCTTTAGGCCCTCTACTGCAGCTCCCTATCCCATCACTGGCTGGCCCTGCTCCTTGCCCTCCCCTCCCAGTCACTCCTCACCTGCCCTGAGAAAGTAAGGGCGACGGTGGATAGAGACTCGTTCCATATTCCAGAGTGGGATTGAAGTGCCCCTCTACTTGCCTCTTTAGGCCGTTGTTGGTAGTGCGTGCACCTCGGCCACTTGGGGAGACGCATGACTTTCTTTCCCCCCCAAGCAGTGATGCCACTGCTCTTACCACCTCCATGGCCTGCTCGCTGCTCTTGCAGTGCCTTGCACAGCACACTTAAATTTAGCGCACTTCACAACGGGGGAAACAGTGTCCCCTCCTCCTCCTGGAGCCCATTATGACACAGAGCATCGGCTACATCCGGGCCAGGCCAGTGTCTCGGGGTGGAGAGAAAGTTGTGCATCTCCCCAAGTGGCTGAGGTGCATGCAGCATCAACAAGGGCTGGAAGAAGAGGCTTCACTTCTGCTCTGGAATATGGAGCGAGTCTCCATCTACCACCATTACCATTACTTTTTCAGGGGAGGGGAGGGATGGGGCCAGCCATTGGTAGGTTCAGCCTACAGGAAGCCAAAGCAGAGGGATGAAAGAGCTTCATTTATCTGGGAACCTGAAATGACTCCTGATTTAAATCATAAGCACCCAAAGAAGAAGAAAGAACAACATCAGCAGAAACAAAAAAAAACAACTTTCACCTGTTTTTGGAAATGGTCAAAGAGGGAACACACATACATACACACAAACGAGAGAGAGAGAGAGAGAGAGAGGAGAGATGAGAGAGAAAGATGAGAGAGAGAGAAAAAGAAATGAGAGAAAAACAGACGAGAGAGATGAGAAATAGGGAGAGAGGGAGATGAGGAAGAGGGCGAGATGAGAGGGAGATGAGGAAGATGAAAGGGAGAGAGATGAGAGAAAGATGAGAGAGAGAAAGAAAGGTGAGAAAGAGATGAGAGAAAGAGTGAGGCATATACACACACACACACACACACACACAGAGAGAGAGAGAGAGAGAGAGAGAAATACCTGTTTCCCAGAGAAAAGAAAATACTGGGAGCCACAAAACCTGGGTAGGCGTGGCTGGGGGGGGCATGTGACTGGTAGTGAGTGACGAGTTGGCCACGCCCACCCAGGTTTTGTGGCTCCCAGTGTTTTCAGTGAGAAACGACCAAATGGCTCTGAGTGTTTAAGGTTGCAGGCCCCTGGTCTATACCATACACTTGACCTTTTGCCCCTCTATTAGTGTTTCAGCTCTGCCTAATGCTATCCTTTCAGAAAGCATTTAGCATACAGTATTTTTCATTATTTTTGCCTGATTTTAAAGCTTTATTAGTCCTTGGCATCATAAATTCTTTTAACTTTTAAATACAAAATAGTTTTTGGATTTTTAAACATTTTGCTTTTTTATTTAATAAAACAGAATAAAAGAAAGCAATAATTAAAAGGAAAAAAATAAAACAGCAACAAAATTGTATACTTCTTAGCAATATACATGTGGAAAAAATTTTACACAGGTTTCAAGAAAGGATAGGTATACTATAGTTTTATTGTTCATGTATAGTTTATATCTGTAAACCAAACTATAATTCAAAAATTGCAGGTATTATCAGCTCCCCAATCTACTGAATTATTTGGAACAGTACTATGGTACAGATGTCTAATAATGTTACTTACAACATTATTAAATTATTGTTTGTACAAATGATGAATAAATAAATCTGTGTATTGTATATCAGATAGTAGGGGGATATAGGACAACTTGCTGGGTCAAATCACACGGCCAACTTACCACAGCCAACTAGCTGCGGGACAGCTTTCAGTGGGACAAGAGTTACACTACTATGGAAAAAATGGTGGAATAGAATAATTAAAGAAAGGATGCAAAAGGAGGGACAAAATGAATATGAATGACAACATTTAAAATATTTTTTTAATTAAATTGAATTGTTGAATTGGCCCATGGCGAGTTAGCCCTGGTGACTTGTCCTGCAGAGAATTGGCTGTGGGAAGTTGGCCAAGGCGAGTTGCTCCATTCTGGAAGTGGGAGGAGGAGTGGATTCACAGAGCAACTATGATAGCATGTTTTTCTAAAAATGATTTTATACAGAGACTATTTGTGTTGGTAGGAATACTAGAGTGGATTCTTTTCCTCTAGTATTTAATTATATTTTTTTAAATGGTGGTCTTAAATCTTATGATTCAGTCCTACTCATTCATTTTAAGTTCTAGAATATAATCTAAAGTGGCATAAGCCAAGAATAGGTTTATTAGCTTTAATAAATGATTTTAGTTTTAGTACATTTTTGAGGAGGAATAGAAAATATTTGAACTATAGAGATTTTTACAATAAGCAAACATATCTATTCACCAAATTCTTATTTTCCAGCGGAATATGGAAGTGCTATAGAAACCTTGGTGACTGCAATTTCATTAATTAAACAGTCCAAAGTATCTGCAGATGATCGCTGCAAAGTACTTATTAGCTCTCTGCAAGATTGTCTTCATGGGATTGAATCAAAGTCTTACGGTTCTGGATCAAGGTAAACCTTCTGTTTAAAAATCTTGACTGAAATTTCATAGAACAAGAAGAGTTATGTAATAAATGTATGATTCTTGGATCCCTTTTTATCTTTACACATTCAATTTTTTGGTTAGGAAAATACATATAAAATTTGAAATTTCATTTTCTATTCAAATTTTCAAATTTCTATTCAGTGGTATAGCAATCCTATTTAAACCACTTTTTACACACATAGAAACATATACATGTGTTATTCTACAAACATATACATAAAATTATTCTACAAACAAATGGAACTAAAATGATGGGATTTTAGACTTGGAAGCAGGAAAACATTTTTGAAATGGTAGCTAGCTCTGAAATGAATACATTAAAAAGAAATACGCTGTATTTTCAACATCAATGCCAAGAGTATACATGAGATAGGAAAAATACTGTTTCCAAATTTGGACCAAACATTGTGTTCTTGAGGTCTACTAAACTGTTTTATTTCAGCCATACTTCAGTAGAATTAAAAAAATATGTAATACTTTGCAGATTTTGGGGTGAGATAAAATATGGTTGAGCAAATAAGACAAGGCCAGTGTACACTGCCCTTCTCTCGCTTCTCAGCATCCGACACTTCATGTACCACTGGCCCATCTCCTGTCATCCTACCATTTCCCCTATCCTCCTGTCTTTCAGCTGTTGCCAATGATCCACTGGCCTGCAAAAATCCTGTTTCATTCCTATGCATGGAGCAAAATAACCCTGCTTCATTTGTGGATGGACCAAAACATTCAAAGAAGCATGTTTTGGTTCAGGCATGGTTAGTCCAAAACTAGCTCTTTAATGCATCGAGCTTTTGTGCCTAGAACATTTTGCATATTTGTAATTAGTTCTACAAAAATCTATTTTGCCTTTTCATCACCTTAGTAACAATAATTCCTTCTATTACTTAGTAAAATAGGACTACCAAAACACATTCATCATAAGTTGTTGTACTCAGACTAGTTTCTTCTTATTCAAGACTAAGAAATTTTAGATTATTACAAAATATGTAAATTGATTTTAGAGAATTAAGGAAGTAATTTTTTTTAGAAGACGTGAACGGTCAAGGGAGAGAGACCATAGTAGATCAAGGGAGAAAAGCCGCCGCCATAAATCTCGTAGCAGAGATCGCCATGATGATTATTACCGGGAAAGAAGCCGTGAACGTGAGAGGCATCGTGACCGTGATAGAGACCGTGATAGAGAGCGTGATAGAGAACGAGAATATCGTCATCGTTAAGAGGTGGGCAGATTTGTTCCTGGATTATGAATTTATTAATCTTGAAATAATGTAATAAATATATATTCTTGAATTGTGTAGCAGTATGCTGTACTGAGCACATTGTTAATTGGAAGATATGGTCAGGTAAGTATGAGAGTGGTCTCTCCAACTATCCCTTCCCTTTCCCTCCTTTGCTAATTGCATGCATTTCTTTTTGGATGTGATATGTGGTTTTTGTTGTCTTATCAGTTAATTGCCAAATAGCTAATTCAGATCTGTAGCATCCAGTTGGTCCTATTATTGTATGCCCTGTCTATGCATATCTGCAGAAAAGGAGAGCAACATGGGTTTTTCTTTAGGATTTAAGAAGCCAGTATTAAAATAGTCTGTCTTCTTAACCACAGATTTGTAAAATTGTTTTTATAAAGTTTTTGTTTAGGAAGCCAAAGTTGAAACTAAAAGATTCAAGAAGCAACAGCTATTAGAGTCAGTGGCTGCTATGCTTGAAGGCTGACCTAGCTCTTCTTAACAATTTGAACACATTGCTTTGAAATCACTGGGTTCATTCATAGATTTGAGCATTAGACCTTAGACATTAGACCATTAGACATTAGACAATTAGACCATTAGGCATTAGACCTTAACTATTTAAAAAAAATCATAGCTAGTAGAAGTAAAGTTGTAGAAGTTGAAAATTTTTAGAACTTATATTTCTGTTTCTTTCAAGTTCTGTTTGACTACCCTATATAAATGTGGATTAAACTAAAAATAAATATTGATTAATGCAGTATTTTCTACACATTAGAAATTCTGAAAAGCAGTTATATATTTGTAATATTGATTATTCATAGAACTTTGAATAGAATTCCTGATTCTTCTATTCAGTAAGAGATGTAGTCAACATAAATTTCTTATTTTTAATAGACCTCTTTATAGTCTGTAGAGTAATAAGATTCTAGCTGAATGTATTAATACAGTTTCATGTATGTAATCATAAGGGTTGCTTTTTCTTTCTTTCTTTTTTTTTTTGACAACTTGTTTTTTGGTTTTTCCCCCCCGCTCTTGATAAACCTTGCATGTTTTTTTTCCACAGCAAGAAAATACATAGTTGTCTTTAATATTATTCATAGTTTTGGTTTTTTAAAAAGTAGCATAGGATATAGTCAGCAATGTGACATTTAGAGTAGCTTAATATTTGGTTTCCAAAGGTTGATACTGTCTTATATTTTAATTCCAGTAAATTAGGTGATAGTGAGCTACTTTTTTGGGTATCACTTTCGTTTAATAGCAATAGCAGTTAAGTTTATATACTGTTCCATAGTGCTTTTACAGCACTCTCTGAGCAGTTTACAATATCAGCATATTGCTCCCAACAATCTGGGTCATTGGAAGGATGGATGGATGAGTCAATCTTGACCCCCATCAGGATCGAACTCCAGGCTGTGGGCAGAGTTTGCCTGCAATACTGCATTGCAACCACTGCATCACCAGGACTCTGGTCATTTAAAAGTCATTATCATTCCTTTAAAATTTTAGTTGCATCAGTTTATTGCCTTTTTTTTAAAAAAAAGTGTGAACATTTATTTGAACATGCTAATAATGGTCAAAAATTATTTGAAGTTTCTCATTAGAGAATCATTACATTCCTTTTTTATTGTATAGCAATTGACATTCTTGGTTCCAAGGTTTTTTCAGTTATCTAATAAAGACGGTTTACTACTATAGGAATAGCTATTTGGTATCTGTTTCATAAGTAGAGAATAATGAACATGTTTGTTTCACGTTATATAATGGGTATCATTTTGAGTTTCAAACTTTTTTACATTTGTCACATGGAATTCATGATTTTTTTCAAGAATAATTAGCACACTCAATACAAAGTGAAAATATATTAGATTTTCTTACTATTGATCATCTTAATTTTTTCTGAGTAGATGGTATTTAATATTTATTATTGACCTGCATGCTCTTCTTACTTAATTTTATTTGCAGGATCTGTTTCTTTTGTAAGATGTTTACAAATGTTTGTTATTTGCAAGTAAGAATTAACGTTTACAGTATTTTTAAAGCAGTCCAGGTTCCCTTACACCTGACATTCATTAAGCCTCTTTCCTCACTTGTTAACCCTACATATTTTTTATTTCATTCAAAAAATGTTATGGAAACATTTGTGCACAAGGTAGACTTTCAATCCAAAATACTTACATTTGTAGTACTTCTTGCAAGTCTAAAAGTTCTTGGAATTTGCTGTACAGCAGTACAGTACAGCTTTATTTATCAATGCTTAGAATTTTATTAAATGATGCACGGGCCAATATGGGGGTGGGTATTTTATATGTGCTGAGGGAAGATTTCAGGGCCATTAGTTGGGTATTTTATTATCTTACTGCAGTGTCTACTTCCAGTAATTATACAAATATAAGTTGAGTTTTTCGTACAGAATTATTATAGTTTTGCTATTCAATTTATAAATATAACAGCTGTTGCCCTTTATGCATGTTTAACTGTTAAAATCTGTAATCTACCAGTGATGGGAAGAAAAGAAAATTCTTATTTTAGAGAAACTTATCCCCAAATTCCAGAGGGAATGATATATTATTGTGGAAGTTGTATTCTGTCAGCATCTGGAAGGCCACATGATTTCTGTTTGGGTCAAAGTGTAAAAGGACCTCTTAATAAATGTAAATAAATTTTTGAGGAAGAACATTTCAGGAACTTAGTAATACAATTAGCAGTCACAGTTAATAGCTAATATCCTGCTAATCTGCCCATGTGAATATCCTACTAATTTAAACAGTGCCTGAAAAAGTAATATCCTTTAATTAAAAATGAGATATATGTTTTAAAAAAATATAATTATGTTGATATATCAGTTAAAGAACATTAAATACACACTAGTTGTTTTGTATGAAAGACTTGATGTTAAAAGCCTAGAAAGTTCTGTCTGTTCTTTTACATTTGCCCAACATGGTTTTGAACTTCTTTTTCTTGCTCAGCTATCGCCATCCCATTCAAAACACTTTATTGGTGATAAGTGGAATGAAGTAAAACTCCCACTGGCTTCTGGCCAATGTGAAATAACAGTAAACAATAAAAGGGGTTTTACATATAAATATGATAATTTGGCCTTTGTTGTTAGTTTATTAAACATTTTGAATAGACTATAGAGTGATCCTTGCACATGTAATTCAAACTGGAGGAATTTTGCCTGAAATTATTATTTGCTTTTATGTCCTTCAAATTTCATTGTTTACATGTGTTCCAGTTTACACAGTCTTTCAGTTACCTAATTTCAGTACAATAAGTTCAAATTCTATGAATTTAAGTATTAATCAAATAATATAAAGCAATATGATTTGCCCTAATGCTTGGAATAATCTTCTAAATTTTTTAATTTGAAATAATACTATGTAATTTATACCTAAAATAAATTCCTAAAATATGAAATATATTACCATGTAATTTGCAATCTAACCATAAAATACAATGTTTTAAGTTTTCACATTATAGTTCTTAGGAGGAATTTGAATGGAGACTTGAATTTGAGGTTTTGAAAGATACTGGGAAACTTACATGAAAGTAGCTACATTTTGTTATATGAAAATAAGTAGCACTTGCCATTGTGAGATAGAATGAGATGTCTGCCTCAAGGAGTGATACAGAGTTCTGTGTATCAATCATAAAACTCCGGTTCTGAAAGTTATATTTGGTTTTTCTGAAATAAAACCCTTTTTTTAAAAAAGATGCATTATCAGTTCTGAATTGTAATTATACCATGTATGTTATTTGAGGGTACCAGATTTTTTTATATATAAAGGAAGATGGTTAAGGTAACAAAGTTATTTTCTGTGTTGATTATAGAACAACCAGCCAAACGTTCGTCTCACACTTTAAATTACACAGTATTTGTGTTAACTGATACTTTCCATCTACATTGACATGTTGTCCACCTAAAAATATAGATTATCCAAAGAGTATATTGAAGGATAAATGATACAATTTTAAATCCCAATTTTCTCCTACATCTTTGTTTTTAATTAAACCAGATGCTGTATGTATCAGCAGTACATAATCTTACATTCTGGATGTGTCATCTGGTAATTAGTAATATAACTAGATGTACCTGTAACATAGTGACATGATTTTCTGTCAGTTTAATGAATTTTTAGTACAAACCTAAAACTTGAAGGATATTGAACGCACACACGTGTATAATGTTTTCCAAATATAAATAGGTTAATTAGTCATATTGGGTTGGTGTCAAAAGCTTTTTCATCCCATAAGAGAAAAAATATTTCTGACTTAGGTGGAAAAACACTGTGCAAGATATCATCCTCAGATCCTGAGGAAATCAGGTTTGCACAAGCTCTTCTTTAATGACTTCACAAAACTTCACTACTATGTGGTCTTCTGAAGTTTGTACAGATTTTTCCTACTCAGTTTTTATGAGTAAGATGAAACCCCTATATCTTGCAGTCATACACTGCAAGAACTCTACCACTCACCTTTGAACAAGAGTTTCTGAAAGTGCCAAAATTTGTTTTCTCTTTCTTCCTATAACTGAATGTTAAGGTGATAATCACCCACATTTACTACAGCCCTAGGAATTACTTGTATTTATGTAGTTCCTCTGAAATCAGATGTAACTTTCCAATCTTGTTTGGGGGTTAATGATTGAATGATCCCAAAATGGATTTTCACCTGGTTCAAATGTGTTTAATTACATTTTTTAAAATGTGCCTTGACAATGTTCTTCTGGCTGCTGGATTATTTTGGACATTTTCATAAATTTCTGTATTTTTGTTATGTCTTTTGTAAATTGTCATAAAAGTACAAGAAAATTGTAAGTATTTCAGATGTGTATCTTTTCTTGTACTTACTACAAAACCCAGAAATTCATGTGCAAACAACCAACAGATCATCATATTTGTGTTGGATGATACCCATATTTAAAAGCTGAAAGCCACATAATTGCATAGAAATAATAATCATAATATCTAAAATTGCTTCAGGCAGGAAAATTGTAGATTATCTCATGTGATGAGCTTAATTTTATGCTTTGTCATGAATAAGCATTTAAAAATGCAGGAAATTAAAAATTTTCTTAAGTCTGGCACATGTTATATACATTACAAACAAGATTTTTAACTAACATATTTCAAAAGTTTTCAATTTGGTGTTTTTACTTACTTGCTTACGGTGATTTGTTCTTGATTAAAAAGAGAATGAATCAACCTAGCATTGATAGATTTGAGCTTCATTTGACAATAAATGTATCTCTGTTCTCAAACCACTATAAGCAAACCTCATTGTAATTTAAAAGTACCATAGTTTGAATGCACATAATTCTTGGTCAGATTTATGTAAAATTTAAAGTGTGGCTTCTTTCTTTGTTTTATTACAAAGCATGTTCTTAAAATTGTCTTGTCTTTTTTTGTGAAGAAAAAATCTAATGTTTCATTCTTGGGAGGAATATTTGTATTTGCACATTCAGTGTAGTTTTCACCATCTAGTGACTTCCAGATATGTTGGATTACTGTTTGCATTTTCCAGTTGGTACAGGAAATGATTATACTGTCTGAAGATGATGGAAATTATAATCTAGCATATGCACACTGCACCAGATGGGGTAGGCTACAGTACCTAATGAAAAGTGGAAACATTCCCCCCATCTGCTCAGCATTTTATGTACAGGCATTGCACATAATAAAATAGAACCTAACAGAATAGAATCAACGCTTGTGTCCAAGCATAATGATTGTATACTTCATCCCTTGTCTATTTTGCATAAACTTTATATAAATAAAGATACAAGATCATAATAATTATGTACCAAATGCATATCAGATGACTGAGACTATATTTAGAATTTAAGTCGGTCACGTCCTGTTCATGACCCTGTAAAGTGTAATATTAAATGGATTAGGCAGATGTATTAAATACCTATATTCATGCCAGACTAATCAATACTGTTACTCCTGTTTTAAGAGGCAATGCTAATTTGTTTTAAAATCAGTGAAATGTATAGAGAGAGTAGATAGTTGGCAACAACTATGTTTCTCCCTTTTATAATCCAAATTTTTGTTTAAAATCTTTGCTAGAAAGCATTATTTTAAATCTAAAAGACGATATTTGTAACTGAAATTCTTATTCCAAGTGATTGTATATTTTATGTCTTTTTTTTCTTATGTTTATTTTACTGGTACTCTTTAGTGCTGGTGGTTGAAAAAAATGTGATTATAAATATAATTAATCATCTACCTGTTTTATTAAGAATTATTTTGTGAGCACCTATATTGGCAAAATAAATAGCAATTTTGTGCATGTTAGTAATTTTGCTGTTATATTTGTGCTATGGTTTTTATGCTAGTCCAGTTCTTTCATTTTCTCATAATTATGGTTGTGAATACAATCACTCTTTTCTAATAGATTCATAACAAAATTTGGTTTGAACTGCTTTCCTTATATGAATTTTGGAAGTGATAAAGATCATGGGGTTGAAATTCATTTTTCAATGAATATATTGGAGTGCATTTCTTGCTTACTGTGGTTTGAGAACTTTTAAAGGAATTCAACAGTATTGTTCTATTTTATTTGCTGCAGTTTTAGCTTTACCAGTTTCTCATACATCTCAATGTGAAAATATATAGAAATATGTGAAAATTTAAGATTATTTTTGGGAACTGAGTGGAATTTGTCATGATTACAGTTTGAAATTATGAGAAATTGTGACTGATTGCATTATCAGTTATCAGATCCTAGCCACACAACTATGTATCAATATGGTATCTCTTTTGCTTTTGTGTTCTGCCACATAAATGAGCAGGAAACTGCTTTCCACTAATGCAAACTGGAAACTGTTTTATAAAAACTTAGTGCCAACAAGATATGGAAACTAGCTTGGATTAAAGATAAAAAGATTGTGGCTTCCTGGCTTCTTTATCTCTTGCATGAAGGGAGAAATGGCCAAACCAAAGGAATCTTGTGATGATGCAGATAATTTAAGTTAGCCAGAATTGAGTCACTCAACTTGAGTTCTTGTAATGTAGCTGTATAAACAGACAAATACTAGGCAAAACTAGTAAATATTTTTTCTAACTCAAGTAAAAGCAAAGTAAGACATACCCCCTCCCAAGTTTCATTTTGAATATACAACTATATAATACTTAATAGTATGTAAAAGTAAAAGAACAGAAAAAGCAGACATACATAATTGGACTTTCGTTGGAATACATTTTCCTTCCCATTAGCTGAAATGTTAATGTTAAGAGTCTCTTTGGAATCGAAAAGCCAAATTATTTAATTAGCAAGGAAATAAAGTATACATTTTTAACATACTTAATCCATTAAAATACATAATCCATTAAAGTACAACAAGCCAACGAGTTCATAGAAGATTGATTTGCAACTATGGTTGTGTCATGTATGCTTGAAAAATAAGTGTTTGTTACAATATGGGTGTTAATCTCATTGAGAATTTTGAGGTGGAGCGGTCAGGCTCTGAATATGAGGAATTACAATATACTAAAGAGTCATGGGCTTGCAGTTGTAAAAATAAGGTCAGGTTTTGGGGGTTGTGTGTTCTGTGACACTGCATCTGTCTTCCATAATGTCCATAAATTCTGCCTGCTCTTTTAAAAATAAAGAAAAAGTAATTTACCTGGGTTTGGTATCACAAGAGATTATTAGACTGGGAAATAAATTGCTCTAAAGAATGAAAGAAGGGAGTAATTGAGAGGATGAGAAGTTGCCTAATCGCTTTCATAGTTCCCAAGCCTGCCTTATCTTTACATTTTTATTTAGGAACTATTCAAAAGGACTGAATTGCTATTTACTGAAGCTACAGTGAAAAACCTTTGAATTGTGAAAACTATTGGGTTTTTGACTTGCATTTAGATATTGCAGCAGCCATCTCAACTGAAATAATTGGCCAATAAAAACATATTATGTATTTAATATAAGGAATAGATAATTTCTTTTTATGAAAGAAAATTGGTAATATCAAAACTATACCACCATTGTAATAATTTTAATATAAATATTGAGTCTCTAAATAGCAATGATCCTATAAAAATTTTTAATCACTTAATATTTCCCAGTATATGAAACAGACTTTTAGTCTGATTTTGTGTTACAGTATTCCCAATCCACAACATGCTAGTATAACTTTTTAAAAAATGCTACCTACCAATGGAAATAATGTTAGTATAAATTCATTAATTTATTTATATTGAAATATTTTAGAATAGAATCTGACAATACCTTAGAAGCTTGGAATCTGTGCTTAAGTTTATTATTGTAATCTAAAAATGTGTTTACCAAGAAGATAGTATTTTAGAAATAGTTTATTATAGTTATTGCTATGTTTTTTCATGCTTATTTCTTTAGGTACTTAATGGACACTGTATTCAGAATGATAAATTATAATAGTCTTGCAGTTGTCATTTTGTTCCTCTGAAACTGAGATTCCATCTGTGCATTATAACTTAATCACAATTTGCACATTTTGATTCACCTTGTTAATAAAACCAATTTTAAAAGGGTTTTAATGTGCAACAAAAAAAATCCAAATATTTAACACTCAAAGTAAAAAGTAATTAAATTCTCACTTGCTTAAAACCCATTGTGTGATAAAAGAGCATCTGAATTTTTTATTAATTGAATTAATTTTTCTAATTTGAACTGTATCAGTAGTAAGAGTGACCTTATGGCATTTGCATATTGCTTTGTGTTCTGAAATTATTTATCTAGATATCTGCGTACAAATATATCAATATGTACTTTTGCAAATCATTTAAATTGTCTGATTTTTTTTGAAATTATTGCTTTGATGTTTTATGCTATATCCTCACAGTCTTTTTTGGAACCATGTTCCACTGGATTCAGCGTGACTTACTTTACAGTAAGATTTAAAATTTCTGCTTTAAGACTGGAAACATATTTAGGAGCTTGCTTCCTGCCAGCATTTGAGATAGTAATGAACAAACGTATATATTAATGTATTTTTATCATTTTTAATATCAATTATAATAGTTACCAAGCAGTGTTTGTGTATTTACATGTAGATTTTATATAGAATATTCTACAATAACATTGTTATTAAAAAGTGTGGAACTTTTAAAAAGCTTATTAGCTAGAATATAAAGATATGAAGTATAAATTTTGAGTGTTTTGCTTCTGGAATTCAGGTGTTAGGACACATTTTTTTTGTTAAACCAAGTAAACTTTTAAAAGTAGTTTCTGATACTGCCTGAAGAAAAGCAAGAATGTTAGCCTTTAATTGTCTTTCAAGGGGGCGTTATTTGTGTCACAGCTATTGGTTTTAGTACAAATTTAAAGAATTACTCCTGGTATCCAAAGCAAAAATATAATCATAGCATGTAATCATAGCAGAGTTATGTAACTGTGGTAAAGTCTTTAGTAATTTTGCTATTGAGTTGACTTTGATATTTTCAAAGTACCAAAAACTTGTGTGATTGCTGCTTAGAAGTATACATTACTGCACCTGAGAGTCAATCATACTTGAGTGCTACCTGTGTTTAGAAGTGAACCAAGCTCCTCTCATTTTTCCACATTTCTTTTAGTTTATATACATATTATCTAGTTGTCTGTTTATGTGACTTTTAAGCATGAATTACTACATAGATTAAAGGAACTGTTTATAATTTATTTGTCAGATTAATTTGTTTTTAACGGTTGTATTATTTAGCTGTTCACATAATTTCATTTTTAAAATTAAAATGGTTAAACAATGTAACAAAATGGGTTGGCTGATACATAATCCTCTGTGCACTTTTTTGAATGTTGATCTGAAGAAACATTCCTATTTATGTTTACTTTTTATAAAATTAGGTATCTATATATTCCTGTAATATGATTCTAAAATGATCAACCTGCAATTTGGAAGGTTTTCAAACAAATTCTTGTTATTTCCATTTTTTATTTTTATGCTGAAATAGATTTGATGTTTGTAAATTGTGTACGTATAGTTAAACCACCATTTTTGCTTGCTGTGGGATCTAGCAAAATCTACATCACAAATTTTAACACATTACAGCTGAAGGAAGAGGAGCACCTCGCCAGAAAAGAAATGTAACTTCGTGGAAAGAGGCTTGTCCAGCAGTTTGCTTCTTGTGATCGAACAGAGCTGTAAAGGATTCATGGATAAATTGAACAGGAATAGATCTGAATAAAGCAAATCTGCATATATGGTAACCAGTAGCTCTCTTACTTTTTATGTTGCTTAGCTGTTTTTATTTGAAGGAACCTGTGTGATTTAAAACATATAGCTTTTTGCAACTATTACTGGTTATATATATATTTGACAATTAAAATGTGCAGGCAATTGGAAAGAAGTCAAGTAAATGCTTGTTTTTATAGTAGTTGGTTCTTGTTTAAATGTTCAAGATAATGTCTGTAAAGCGCAACAATTTGATTATAATAGATGTAGTGTTGTAATAAACTGTTTGATGGGGCTGATGTGTAAATCTGTTCGAGTTATTTGATGTTTACACCTCAGGGAGCGTCTTGTGTTCAGCAATATTTAATGGTGTTAAATGTCTCTAACAAAATGCATATTTTTTACAAATGCATCAATTTATTGTATTTGATAACTTTATGATGAAACTAGAATAGAAATCACATTATTAGTTTATAGCCAGTTTTACATAGATGGTTTTTGAACATGCCTAAAGGTGTACCAAAAAATTAGTGTTTCTGATCCTTGTAGATTGAAATTCCATTGGAGAAGATTTAGGCTTAAGTTGAATTAAAGACTTCTGTTGCAATATACAGAACTAAATACCCCATATTTATTTACAATTTTTAAAAAAAAAGATTAGGCATTTTCAGATGATGGTCATTCTTTACTTTTTTGTTATGTCCTATTTCCAAATACTCTGATAGCGTATACATAGACCCACTGTGTCAACTAAAAATAGTTACAAAAGAATTCCCTAAAAAACCAAACATGAAAAATAAAAATTCCAGCAGTTTCTTTAAACAGTAAAATGTAGTTTGTCCCAATAAGCAAATGTAAATCTGATGTACTCCAGAATCAACAGTGGATTTATAATCGTGCTCAGCGATATGTTGTTTGTTGATAAAAACAGACTTCTGAGATTCTTACTTGCACCTGCCTAATTTCTCCTTTCAAAGCTGTCAACATTTTAAATGTTTATTTTCCCCAAAATTTACTGTAATTGGTTTGTGAATTAATGAAAATCATTTTTTTTAATATTTAATCAGTTTCAATAAATTGGATTATAAATTTGCTGAGATAGGAAATTAAATACATCATATATATTCTGCAATTATAACTTGATAAAAACCATGATCAGTCTTGGGTTTTTAATGAATATAATTGTGTAGTAATAATTTTAAATAGCATCCTTGACACATCTACAGTTTTTAAGATAAATGAAGCATACATATTAAAATATATGTATGTTTCAGTTATATTCATAATAAGGTATTATCTGGATCTTCGTTTCAGTTTACCTGGAAGTAAATCCCTTTGAAAGTGGAATTGCATTTAAGTAAATATGCATACTATATGTATCCACCGTTATTAGCTGCACATGAAAGCACTCAACTTTCTCTACTGGTTCTATACATAATTCTGCTCAGAGTAGAAATAAAATATCTCTCTGAAGGTTATCCAATATGACTGGTTTACATTGTTGTAAAAGTCAGTTTATCATGTGCTTAGTTCAGTCAGTGCAACTTAACCTACTGTATAGACTTGTCTATTTCAAATTAATTTTTTAGTTGTTAATAACTGGAGTTGTATGGATATGTTAATGTTCACTGAAAAGATTTTTATAATGGCTGCCTTTATCGTTTTTGTACATTGAACATTCTTATGATTCATACTTGGTTTGTTTTCTTGATCTAACACATTTTTATGTGACATTGGCTTCTGTTAAGCATATTATTATGATCAATTTACCTAATTAATATGTGGAAATGTTAATATTACTTTTGATTTAGCCTCCAATTTCATTGTGTGCGTGCGTGTGTGAGTGTGTGTATATACATATAAATAAATAGGTAGAAGTAAATAGGTAGAAGATGAGAAGTAAAAATTAATTGAAGTAAAATATTAAGATGTTTGGGTCTGTATACTGTTATTTAAAAGTTATACTTAAGGTTTTGAGTTGTTTCCTTTGTGCAGTGTTGAATAGGTATATCATCAGAAAATGGGAAGTTGCTCATATGCTTGGAATGGCTTGTTTATTTAGGGTTGTTGTGATAGCCCTAAGAATTCCAGTGCAGTAATGCATTTTTAATTAGCTAAAATGTGCACAAAGAATCTGGACTAAAAACTGGAAAAACCAAAAGCTGAAGAAACAGCCAGGTAAGTTAGATATGCATCATGGATAAATTTTATTTGGACAAGTTCAAGTATCAAGCACCAAAATGAAAATAATTTAAAATCATAACTTACTTTAGTGTAACTTTTTACAGTTGAAAAGTAGTGTTATTACTGTATATAGATTATTTTATGTTTTCTTCTCAAGATTTCCATTGCTGGCAGTGGATTTGCCAAAAATCAGAGTATGAATGGGTTTTTTGATAACTTTTTATATATGTAGCGTGAAAGTTTCTGATGTGTGGTAGTAAATTGTGGGTAAAAATTGTCCAATCTGAATTATTAATTTCAATAAACATTTAAAGAATTCCAAAGATACTAAGACAAATGAAGGCATTCCAGTTGTGATATGTCTGTGAGCAAACTCAGGATATATTATTGTGCATACTCACCAGACAGTAACAAAAATTCTGGATATTTTCTAGGCTTCTACTGAAGTTTGTTTGGATTTCTGCATTTATTCTGTTTCTGATACGAAAATGTCCAAATAGGTACTTGATGTTCTGTATCTAGATATTCATAGATTAAGAATAGGTATTTTATGGTTTTTATCGATAAAAATGAAAACACAGAACTAAATTAATTGATTAATGTCCTTAGGTATGTCAGCATCTGCTTGTAATGTCACTGTCACATTTCTTAATGTGCATGGTTGCAGCAGGTGGTACTCTGAACTAATTCAAACTTAAGCCAGAACAGTGAATTTATTAATTGGATAGCTTTTCTCTCAATATATTCAGCTAACAATACATATAGCTGGATATGTTTTTAGAATTAAGTTTTCAAATTGCATATTAAGCAGATAGTATTATTACTATCTAATACTAATTATAATTGTTGTTGTCCTATTTAAAATCTTGCCCATTAGCTATCATGTGTCTGTCCAAACAGTCTGTTTGCAAATATTGCAGTGGGAATGCAATGCATGTTACTAATGAATTTTAGAATGAAAATCCTGGTTAGTTTTGAGAGTGTGTATGCTTGACTGCTTTTTATTATTCCTGGATTATTTGGTTGTTCAAGTTTTATCAAATATGAACTGCAGGTTTTAAATGTATATAATGACTTTAGTTTTAAGAACTCTTTTGTAAATACAATATTGGATAGCAGTTAGATTCTCACTCCAACTTCAGCTTCCTACTAATTTTTATATGTAGGGTCTTATTCACATTGTTTACTTGTTTGATGTAAGATTTCACAGCCTTAAAATGCAGCTTTTAATGTAAAAGCATTAAACATACTCTGTAAAATGTGCATACTTCAACTGTTTGTCAATCTTTAAAAATCTGAGAAATAGGCAAAATTGTGTTAATGAAAATAACATTTTAATCTGAGCAAGAAAAAGTAGTAGGGATTTATTTAACAACCAGACAGTTAATCTGAGAACAAGGTATTTTAAAAAGCACGTTAGAAATATTTTATATAAAACTTTGATACTCCTTCTTTATGTGTACATACTATGCTATCAGCAAAACATACACATGCTTATGCAAACTATTAATACATTTTCATTTCCATCAAATATTGCTTTCTCTTTGCAGTTGTAAATTGTTAGTTTAAATAAAAATAATGCCACAGTATCCAAATTGCAAATGTAATGTAGATTATTTCAAGCTTTTGGGGTACAGTCTTTCAAATAAAAAGCTACTTTTGAGAACACATTCTCTGGAATAGCACATGGGACTGCAGTGGGGCAAAACGAAAGAATGTTGTAAGACCATAGGATATCAGTAGGATATCAGTAGTTTCTGTTTTCATACATTTTTTAGTCCAACTCTGCTGAGATCCAAAAATGCAATAAAAACATGGAACTCTGCTACAGTATGGATTTTGAAGCAAAATAGTGCTTCAGATCATGCAGAGAGACCAATGTAATGCCTACCTGCAACACCTTAAATAAGTATTTTTCTGAACTCACACACCTGCAGCATGATGTTGAGAATGGAGTATAACTATTTTGGAGCAATACAAGGTGATGATAAGTTTTCCTCTTATACGGGTATACTTTTGAATTTGAAGTGCTGCAGAGCCCTGCTTTCTCCATGGAGAATGACATCTTTTTTATATTGTATTAAATTTTGGGGATTAGACAATTTTACAATTTTCTTGCAACTCTGACAATTTTTCCTTGTACTTAGTTGAGCATTTATCATTGAGAATCTTGTTAGGCAAAAATTTTAGAACCTTCCACAAAATGTTGAATTAATCAGCATTTGGAGTAGGGTGTTCTATCTAAAGGGGTGGGCAGACAAAAGCTAATTGCCTTATTGGCAGGTTATTGGGAAGTGACTGCTGATGGTGGAAAGAGCCAAAATAGCCAAGTATCTTTTTGAAGAACTTCCTTTATGCTATCTATTCTCACATACACATCAGGTGCACACTTGAAGCAGAGAAGGGAATTATTTTCAATTGGATTCCTAGAATAATTTATAATTGCTTTTCTTGAAAGTGAAATTAAATGCCAAGCAACTATGATCTTGCATTTCTTATTGATGGATTTGGCATGATTTAGATAACAGCTTATTTTTTGTGAATCATTGAGATTCTATGAATTTACTTGTAAATACTTGCCTTAAAAATGGGGAAATTTAACTTTCATTTTATATTTCTTTAGTGCCTGTGGAGCTAACTACTATTTTAGATAGTTTTACATGGCTGGGGCTGGAATTTATTATGTCATAGATTGTACAAATGTTTACATGAAAGTAAAAAGCACCATGTACACCAAGATTTTAAATTGTTTGGTATATGTAACCAACCCAGCTTCTTTTGACTTTCTAATACCTGGCAGCTCAAGAACATCTTGAATGGGTTGAATTTTTGGAACTTAAATGGCTTCACAAGGTAAGAGGGAATAATGTCAAACCATATGAAATTTTATAAACCAAATCTCTGCCTGTAGAAATGGCTTTTAAAATTTCATTTCACTTCTGTTTCATCATTTGGTGATTTTAATTACCTTTATTTTTAGTCTTTAGGCGACTGTTAAGAATTTGGTATTTTTTTGGTTTTTTTTTAAGCTGCAAAAGAAGTTTCCTTTTATGGGGAAAAATAAAGCACATTTTAATAAAAGCTTAAGTCTATTTTGTCTTTTTTTCATGGAACTATGGGGTTTTTTAAAGTTAAATGTAAACTGTTCTTACTGAAAAAAGGAAAAATAACAAGCTGAATAAAATACCTTGTGAAAAACAAAATAGAAAATATGTTTCTTTCATTTTGTCAATTGTTGCTATGTAAACACACAATGAATTACTGTTCTCTGTACACATATTCATATAAACAAAGTGACTGATGTCACTAATCTTTAATATATCTCCTTTTATCCTTGTGTACAGTGTACATTTATATAATGAAATAATCGATTTACAGTATTTCCAGTTCTGAAGTTAATCAAATATCCTTGGGGAATCCATTTTGTTGTCTTCTTTTCATACTTGATTATTTTAACTTCCTTCTCAGTATAAAATTTCTCTTAAAGCTGTTTTGATCAATTTCTTTTTTCCACAGGAGGTTTTATCAATGCCCTTAAAATTTTTCAGTCTGCTAGTTCTTAATTTCCAGCTACTATCCTGTCTTTTGAAGAAAGAAAATGAGCTACATTCCAGATGAATCCTGATGAAATTTAAATTAAATGACAGAATGGCAAAAGATTCAGATATTACTAAATGCAGAATCATGAACATGTTTCATGGGGACTTTAACCATGTCCCTGTAATTTGTGAAGTTTAAAGGTAACAACAGTTAGCAAGACAAGCTGAAGCTCACATATACATAGAAGATTAGATGTCAAATTCAACTTGTATTTTAAAATAATGGGTATTTTGGAATAGCTTTTACCATTATTAAGATAACACTATTAATTCCATATAATCCTAAAATTTATGTTTTCTATTTGTTGGATATCAATCTTTCATTTGAAACTAGCATAGTGTTATAAGACCATTAGTGCAACATTCTTGGAGACAAGTAGATTTGTGAAGTCAGCTCTAACAATAGTAATAAGTATACAGTGTATGAACTCAGTTCCTGAGAACAGCCTGGGTACGTTCTGCAGTTTTATTGGCAAGATTTCAGAAGTGGATTGCCATTGCCTCGTTCCTATGGCTGAGAGAATGACTAGCTCAAGATAACCCAGCTGGATTTGTGCCTAAGGCAGAGCTAGAACTCATTTCTCAGTTTCTAGACTGATGCCTTCCTTAACCACGACTACACCATGTTAGTTCTTTGATGTCCCCTTTCAATTCTAGCTTTATAAAAAGCATAGGGAATAAAATACATTAAATGCATTTACAAGAGCACACTAACAACATTTAACAATAGAACCTCAAATACTTCCGTTTCTAATTGAGAAAGTGGAAATACCAGTATATTGCAGAAGTGACAAAAGCATCCCAAAGACTAAAAGCGTGACTTGTATATCCATTCCTCTAACGATACTCTAGAGGAAAGACAATGCTGAAGGAATAATCCACAATCCAGCCTTATAAGTTGAAATGTTTACCGTTAATATATTGGTTTAGGAAGTTTATTTAGACTAGACACTCCTGTTCGAGCAGGCGGTTAGACTAAATGACCTCTAAGGTCCCTTCCAACTCTTATTCTATGATCTTATTAAACTGATGGCTCTCCCTCGTAAGGCTGCGACAGGTCAGGAGTGGGTTGCTTTTGTGCTAGCTGCTTGGACAAGAGGAACCCACTCCTGACCTGTCGCCTACAAGGAGAAATGGCGTTCAGGTAAGACAACGCCCATTTTCATTACAACAATATTGCTAGTGCTTAGTGTTAAATGTAGATAACATTTTTGGGGAAAGGAGCTTGGTACATAGACATGTACGTATTCTGAAATTCATAGTATGCTAACGTGGATTATAGAAACTTCCGAGGAGCATTCCAACAGCTGCCAGTAGATCAAACTTGAATTTATAATCTTACATTTGCGTTCCAAAATGTAGCATTTTACAACCAGCACGATCGCAACACACGAATAGACTCTTGTTTTCTCTTTCCAGCTTTCACTTTTATCTCAAGTTCGCCAAACTAAAGCGACGGGAGGTCACGTGACACAACCAACCCGCTGTTTTCCTGCTGCAAATAGGAAGGCGCCTGTAATGTGCGTTACGTTGATCTCACCCGGAAGTTATTGTATGAGGGTCGCGCACTTCGCCCGGATGGTGGACACCGGGCTGCGGAGAGAAGGGGAGGTTTCGCTGGTCTCGCGGCCGGTGGGCGGGCAGATGAGGCCTGCCTTGACCTGGCTGCGCTAGAGCGGCGCGAGGAGCCTTTCCTTCCGGTGCAATATGTTCAAAAGAATGGCTGAGTTCGGGCCTGACTCTGGTGGGAGAGTGAAGGTGCGAAGACCTCTTGGAGGGAGCTTTTGGTTCATTTGCAAACGGCTTCTCTTCCTCCTGAGGGCAATGTTAGATCCCAAGGCGATCGCAGGGTTTGACGCACATTTGGTCCCGTGGGGCGGTGCGTTGCACAGGTTCAAGTGTACCGATTGGTTTAAGAGGCTTGCGGAGCAAATGGTTTCGAAGGAGGGAACCGTCTGGGTTGTGCTGCAACTAACACCGAAGAATCTTCTGTAGCTTAGAGACTTAACGAATTGATGTTCATACAAGTTTTTGAAGATTGAACCACTGTAATTCTTTCCTTGGAAAGCTGTTTGTGCTTCACTTACCTTTCCTAGTTTTAAGTATAAATTTAACTCTCCCTAAATTTAATCTCTTCGTTGCTCTCCAACGGCGTTGCTGAATTAACTTAGCACTTATATTACTTCAGATTTTATGTATATCCTTCATTAGATTATGACTTCCTAGAGTTAATAGGTGTAAGAAAGAGGATGCTAAAGCTATTGCAAATTTTTAAGTAATTGCTAATATTTAAAAACCCATATACAGTACCTACTTATGGTTAAAATGAATTCTCCATTAAATATTACCTGGTTTTGTATGATGAAGGTGTAGTTTGCTGTAATACAAACAAATGACATTCAAATTGACTTACAAAATGACATTTGTAAGGTATTCTTCAAAATGATGCTGGTCTCTGGATTTATGTACAGATAGACCTCAACTTTCGACCACAATTGAGCCCAACACTTTTCTTGCTAAGTGAGACAATTGTTAAGTGAATTTTGCCCCATTTTATGACCTTTCTTGCCACAGTTGTTAAGTTAATAATTGCAGTTAAGTTAGTGACATGGTTGTGAAGTGAATCTGGCTTCCCCATTGACTTTGCTTGTCAGACGGTCACAAAAGGGGGATCATATGACCCCAGGACAATGCAGTTGTCATAAATATGAGTCAGTTGCCAAGCATCTGTATTTAGTTCAGGTGACCATAGGGATGCTGCAGTGGTCATAAGTGTAAAAAATAGTCACTTTTTCAGTGCTGTTGTAACTTCAAATGGTCACTAAATTAACTGTTGTACCTTGAGGACAATTTTTTTAAATAGTCGGTCTCTAAATTTTTGTAATTTTGAAGGCTTGTATCAAGTACATTTGTACCTTATATAATTAGAACTATTTGAATTGGATTACACAACCAAGAGTTCAAGTTTCTTACCCGTTGGAACTACTGATTTGACTATATGTCTCATTGATTGCTTATTATTTTATAATATTAAATTTTTCAACACTACTTTTATATTTACCTTCTAACTTTCTGTCTTCAGGAAACTCTGTACAGGTGGTCCTCAAAGTACGACCACAATTGAGCCCAAAATTACTTTTGTTAAGTGAGACATTTATTAAGTAAGCTTTGCCCTATTTTACAACTTTTCTTGCCACAGTTGTTAAGTGAATCACTGCAGTTGATCAGTTAATAACCCAGTTAAGTGAATTGGTTTCCCTATTGACTTTGTTAGAAGGTCACAAAAGGTGATCATGGGACCTTGGGACACTGCAACTGTCATAAATATGAACCAGTTGCCAAGCATCTGAATTTTGATCACATGGTCATGGGGTTGCTGCAAAGGTTGTAACTGTGAAAAATGGTCATAAGTCGCTTTTTTCAGTGCCATTGTAACTTTGAATGGTCACGAACTGTTCTAAGTCGAGGACTACCTGCAGAGTTCCACATGGGATATCTATCATTTCCCAATCAGGCATTGCTAAAGAGACACAATGAATCATAATAAAATTGATACTGTTTTGCAATGTTGATAAACATTGGAAGCTGTATAAAGCTGAATATTAAAGTGAATTAAATGCTCATAGCAAATATAATATTGCTTAGTGTAGTTCCATTGAAATTAGTGGGGCTGATATCTCATAACCATTCTGATTTCATTTATTTTAGTGGATTTAAGTATGACTTGAGGTTAGATCCAACATTTACATAAACAACACTGAATTTCTTAAATTTTATTCATCAAATCAATTTATGTAGTCTCTCAATCACCATATTAAAGTATTAAACTTAAAATTAAGTATACTAAACATATTGTGCTGGAGGCAACTTCAGCCATTCCAAAACAAAAATGAGTCAAAATTGGCACAAATCTTGTTTACCCAATGTCTGGGGAAAGAACCAAGTTTTTAAAGCCTTACAAGGCAGGCAGAATTGGGGCTATCCAGTTTTCAGGGAGAATTTGGTTCCAAAGGTCAGGCATAGCAACAGATTATACATGTTATCTACCAAGTGACACTACCAGTGACAAACCTAAAGCTGTGTTTACCCTTTCAGATCCTATCAATTGGACAGTATTAATTAGAGCCAGGCAATTTCAAAGTGTCCATGCACTTTGACATGAAAGGCTTAGTAGGTCAAAAACAGAAACTTACTAGTAATCAGCTAGAAAAACAGTCGTGTCACATGAGGAGTGGTCCTTTAATTCCTTGTGACACCATTCCAGATTAACTGTAGTTTCTGAGTCGTCTTCAAGGACTACTAGTGCACACTGTAGTGATTCAGATGAAAGGTGAGTAAGGAATGGGTGATTGTATGGCCTGTCAATCCAGGAGTGTGTGTGGTTGCAAAAATGGATTTGTCTAAAGATCTGCTAATTTCTCAACTTTTTAAGCAGGATAAGGGGGTCTAGGTAATCCACTTTCTCCATAGTCCTCTTTTTTTAATCCTCTGTTTTTACTTTTTAGTTGTAACTCATCTTTATTATTTTTACAAAAAAATCAAAGTGGTAAACATGTCCAACATCCCTTCCTCCCTTATTTTCTCCACAACAGCAATCCCGTGAAGTGAGTGCAGAGAGTGACTGGCCCAAAGTCACCTTGATGGCTTTCATGACTAAGGCAGGACTAGAACTCAGTGTCTGCTTTCTAGTCTTGTGCCTTAATGACTAGACCAAACTGGCTCCCTTTACTGAGTTCTGAAAGAAAAAATTGATCTAAGAAATAATCTTTAACTTTCTGTGTTAAAGCTTCAAAGTAAGAATGTAAAATGATTTTACTTTTTTCCTTCAAGGGTGTGACTATTGTAAAACCCATTGTTTATGGTAATGTTGCCCGCTATTTTGGCAAGAAACGAGAAGAAGATGGGCATACACATCAGTGGACAGTTTATGTTAAGCCTTATAGGAATGAGGTAAGCAAAAATATTTTCAATAATATTTTGCAATGTTTTCAATTTTGAATATTTTGGGTATTTAAAATGTTTAATTAGGAAATTGCTATTCTGTACAGTCAGACAAAATATATAGGGAAAACTGTAGCGAATGCCCTGTGAAAATTATGATCTACAGAAATTGGCTAACTAGAAATCTTTTATAACTTTTATATGGAATATAGGTCACATCTTGATAAATATACCAAGTATTTGGTGATTTGTTCAGAATGTCTTATCATCTATTATAGTTTGGAGGACACACAAATATTGCATGAGGAAAATAACAAAATCTGTAAAAAGTACTGGAATTAATCAATGGAATACTGTGTAACAAAAAGACTAGAAGGAACATTGAAACATTATAAAGCATAACTACATATGTAAATTCTTATTGACTCTTTCTAATTTTAGGATATGTCTGCTTATGTAAAGAAAATCCAGTTCAAGTTACATGAAAGCTATGGTAATCCACTGAGAGGTATGATGTAAACAAGTCTTTGATGAAAGTAGAATGGTTTCATTATTTTATAAAGTTGGATTATCTAATATTTAGTGTTTTCTTTCTTTTTTAGTGGTAACTAAACCACCATATGAGATCACTGAAACAGGTTGGGGTGAATTTGAAATCATCATTAAGATATTTTTTATTGATCCTAATGAAAGGCCGGTAAGTAATTTTCCCAATGCAAATGGCAGTACTCAGTTTTATACATCTGATTACCTTGAAGAAATCACATTCTATTTCAGATTACCTAAAATGTGGTGGGTCTTGTATACATTGCTAGTATTTGTTGGAAAGGAATTTTAACAGTAAAAGTTGTGAATGTTGTGCTAAGGTTAAAAAAAAAACCAGCTGAATTGTTTTAAGCCATGTTTATTAAAAAAGCACTAGCGTGAGAGAGAGCTTAACTGGGTATAGCCGTATGTGTTTGAACATGACTTTTTAAACACTTTTAAATTGGATTACATCTGTCACCAATTCATCTGTCACCAATTCCCAAACCAGTCAATGACTATAATTCTGCTCATGGTATAATCAAAAATAAATTATTTGTGATTGACACATGGCTCAGTTTAGCTGGAGTTTAGCTGGAATTTTGAGAACCTGGAAGAGTGCATCCTGTTTAAAATAACAGTTGGGGAAATATTGATAATTTTTACCTATATTTAGAGGATGAATCACTTAAATATATTACTTTGGGCATTCTTTGCTTTGTCTCTGGAAATGATACAACAATTCTATGTGCCAAATTATGAGGAAACATTTTTTTTTATTTTGCAGCATAATCTTAAAATGATTCCCTGTGTCTCTACAGAAAATAAATGTCAGTAATGAAGGTTAAAAGGTTTGCCTTCTGAAAAAAAAAAAGTCAGCAAATAGTGCAGTTCCATCGCAAGTGACTTGTAATTACTAATTCATTTAAGTTTATTTATTCTTGTCTATATAAGTAAATTTTCAGTTTCAGTTATCATGGCAAGCTGAAATGTAAAATATTCGATTTCTGTTCTACTGTTTGATTTGTATATTTGGGTAGTAACCAGATTTCTCTATTGCACAGGTGACTTTGTATCATTTGCTGAAACTGTTTCAGTCTGATACAAATGCCATTTTGGGAAAGAAAACGGTTGTTTCTGAATTTTATGATGAGATGGTAAGATAACAAAAAATTACATTAACTTTGGGATGAAAGTCTCCCCTTCTTTCCCTTTCCTTTTCATACTCTGATAGTCTGAATCTGCACTAGAGGATGGTTCCCCAATTTTTTTGGTGCATGTTTGAATATACAGGAGGAAAGATCCATTAGACTGGAATATTCTAGTAACCAAATTGCATAATTATATGTATTGTCCATTTTACTGTGAAACATTACATAGTCTAGCAAATAATAGAAATGTATTGCTTTTCTCTAATAGATTTTTCAGGATCCCACTGCTATGATGCAGCAACTGCTAACTACATCTCGTCAATTAACACTTGGTGCTTATAAGCATGAAACAGAATGTAAGTGCTGAACGCCAAGATTTCAGTAGTATGTGTTGATTTTAGATAAACTAAAACTTGATTTTAAAGACCCTCTTTCCTATCATTATTGTATTACTTAAACAAGATCTGCAATTGAGCTTTGTCTTTCATGAAAATTATATTTTACCCTCTCAGCTTATAATATCCAGATAGAGAAAAGTAATTATGAAAAGGTATGGAAAGATCAGTTCTGCATAATCATATTTTAGTCCTATATGGTCTTCACTATTTAAGTCATGCTCCTCACACTTTGTGGTGTTATGACCCTATAGAGTAATTAATTAACTATGAGCACACTATTTTACAATTACCATTCATCTTTTTAGAAGCCGTGTGTGCGTCTATTTGTGTTCTAGAGAGCAACATCATGTTACCCTGCTTATGAAAGTACAGAGAGTTTCTATCAGGAGCCATGGGAATTCAAGTTATGTGGTAATATTGTTGATAGATGGTTAAATATGCACCATCAAGTTGGTGTCAGTTCTTAGCAACTACATGGTTACATTTTTACCAGTAAGGTTTGTCCCCATCCTGGTCCTTTAGGTCTTCTAATGATCACTGCTATAATTGAGTCTATCTTGCTGCCGGTCATTGTCTTCTTTTTCTACTTTTCTCAGCGTTATAAACTTCTCCAGAGAACTAGGTCTTATTCACAAAGTCCAAAGTGTGATAATTTAAATCTGGTCATTTGTGGTTTAATGAGAACTTTGGGTTGGTTTGATTATAGATTTTTGGGGTTGGGGGCGGTATCTGTAGTGTTCTGTGAAGTCCTCTCCAACATCAAAGTTCAAAAGTATCAATAATTTTTCTATTCTACTTCTTCAAAGTATATTGATATACAAAATTAACCAAGAAGGGCACAACTCTTGCCCAGATTTTTTTCTTTAATATCACTGCCTGATCTATTTAAACTTTCATGGTAGTTTCTTCATATAACTTGCAGATCAAACAAACCAGTCTCTTATCTGTAGCATTAGGCTGAGGCGATAGTTGTCTGGATTTGTTTTGTTCCCTGGATTTGTTTTGTTCCCTTCTTTAAAAATGAGGATTCCTACATTATTCAGCTAATTATGGGAAAGCTATTTATGACATTAATATGAGGATAGCCAACCACAGTGCCCACCAGTTTGGGACTTTAAATACCTCTTAGTATCGGGTCAGCAATTTAATTCTTGATGAACATTTGAATTGACTTCCATCTTGGCCATTCTGAAGCAGATGGCAAAATATCCTTTATTTCTGCCTGCCCTTGTGTTTTTTCTTCCTGCTAAAGAAGCATTTAGAAAAAAATGGCTCACTCAAACAGAGGAGAAATCAAGTCTCAATTAGTATAGTATTTTTTTTAGAGAACTAGACACCTTTTTATTTATCGTTCTCCAGCTGTTGTATCGAGAGAGGGTTTCAGGCTATTAAACAGCTTATTTTAGAGGTTCATAATTAACTACTAGTGCAGTAATAATAGTGGCTGTTGTGTGTAGCATCAGTAAGCTGAGTAATTTATTTTGCACTGTAATTATGCTGAGACAAGGATCACAATCTTTCCCAGAAAAGCTGCAAGAGGACTGAATCCTTTTCCTTCAGAAATCTAGAAAGCACTGTCCTTGAAAGAGAGGAGGGGGAGACAACTTTGATCCTGGCTAGGTCACCTTGGATGGCACATTTGGGTTATTGTATGAGGTGTTGTGAACACAACATATCAAAGATCTGGAATCCATAATGGCCTTGTGCCAGCAGCTTAGTGAAAGCCATATGTGTCCAGCCCAGTGCAACTCAGGGCTTCCAATCTATTGTTGGAGAACTTTTGATTTATGTAGATTATCTTTTGTATTTAAGTTAATCCAGTTGGTTTGAATTCCTAAAATGATACTTTTATTGCAGCTACAATTTAAAGGCATTGTATGTTAAAAATACAGTTTGTGTTATACTAGCAAACAGAAGCACATGGTGCTCGGTCCAGAATATTTTAATCTTTTTGATTCAAAATAACAAAGATTGCTTTTCTAAACATTGAAAAAAATATTGAAATAAGCAATACACCACATATATTTTTTTTCCAGTTGCCAGTGTAGAAGTAAAAACTCGAGAGAAGTTGGAAGCTGCTAAGAAGAAGACCAGCTTTGAGATTGCAGAACTTAAAGAAAGATTAAAAGCAAGTCGTGAAACTATCAACTGTCTAAAAAATGAAATAAGGAAGCTTGAGGATGATGATCAATCTAAAGATATATAATACCTATTTATTACTTTAAGAGACTTCATGTGAAATCTATTTTGATCATGGAACCAATAACATATTCCCTTTTCTCTGAAGAATTGCATGTAGACATTCTGGAGAGGATTTTTTTGGTAGGCAAAAAGAAAGAGATTCAGTATGTGACATTTCACTAAGTGTTGTTTTTTTTAGAAAATAAGCAATATTTTCAGTTTTAAGTTGCAGTTGTCTTCACTTATTCTTAAAACTGACTTTTTCTAAAGAAAAAGAATGAATTGCTGGTACAACTTGTTCATGTTCTAATGTATTGAGGAATATATGACATTCTTCTGTGATACTGTTATTAAGTGTGTAGTCAAAATTCTACTTATTTACCTAAACCATCACTGCCTTAAGGAGAAATAAAACTTTACTATAGGCAGCTAAACCAAGTCTCCTATTATCTTCTTTCCAGATTTCTCAGAAACTTGAGATAGAACTGCTGTATAAAGAAATATCAGTGGTAGGTTTACCCTTACAGAGGACAAAACTGATGATGACCCTGTTTGGAAATAATATGCCTGTTGTTCTACAGTTCCATTAATAAAAGTAATTTGTTTAAACGTATATATTTTCTTTAATATTAAAATATAAAGTATATAATTTATATAAACAGGAAGGCAATTCAAAACAAGGGTTCATGAATATCAACCAGCAGTTAAATGGCACAACCAAAACTCCCTGATCTCAGATACCTTGATAATAAACAACACCAGTTCAATTGGGAAGGAACACAAATCATTGGCTATGCCAGCACCCACCACACGTGAATTTATTGAAGCCTGGTATTCTACCAAAGGAGCAACTTAATAAGCATATTGATCTAGATCCAGTATATGAATGCATAAGAAACCAGACCATTCACACAACCAACAAGAGAACCAATCAGCTGCTCAGAATTTAAATATAGCTCCAAATAAACAACCAATCACATGACCAAACTGGTATACAAGACATTTATGAACTAAGGATAATAGGACAAGAAAATCCTGATGATGTTACCTAGTCTGGTAACAAAACATTCAGAAACTAAATTGAAATAAGCTTGGAGAGCAAACCACTGCCAAAAAGTATATAATTTTATACAATTCCTTTTGTTGGTAATATAATATGTAAGCTTGTTACAAAGTTGGATTTTTTTTTGTTAACAATTTATTTATGTCCATTCAGAAAGTGTTGCAGTTCACTAATAACTGAAAATTACAAATTTACACAAAACTTTAAAAATAATGAAAACCAGGAAAACCTAAACCATATGTAAATATATACAGTATAAAGGGGGCTACTTTAAAAAATAAAACTATTAAAATAATAATTAATTGCCTGGCTGAAGACAGGGTCTTTTGTAAGGGAAGAACTACAAAACACAAAGGATTACATTTCTTTGTTTGGGAATGATTTAGGAAATGGTTTTCCTCCATGGCTAATAAATGGGCCCCTGAAAATTGAAGCATCTCCAGTAAGTTTTCTTACTGTTTGTCTGATTCATAACTCTGAAAATATCTTTAAACAGCCCAAGGCTTGAAGGTAATCAGAAATGCCAAAAGTTTAAAATGTGCAGGAAAACTCACAGGTGGAGTATTAGGTATGTTCACCACTTTGAGCTATTCATAAGAAAAATTAATCCAATGTTACAACCACTGCAATATTTATGACACAATCCTCATGATTTAATAATTTGGCTTAATATAGTAATTTAGCTTAACATTTTGTGTCAACTTTTGAAGTGAATGTCCAGTTTGCAATAGGTTTGATGAGGGTGGGTAAAAGCTTTTGTGCTCAGATAAGCACATGATTGCAGATGAAACCTGGGCACAATTAAAATCAATTGTAGAATACCTGTAGTTTCCTGGGATTCCTACAAAGAGATAGGATGGATGGATGATCTTACCTAGTGAAGTAGATGAGAGAAGAAATATCAATTCATAGAGGATATCCATGTACTTTGCTCCATTCAGCTTTCCCTCAATCCTGACCAGTCCTCCCAGTCCCTGCTGCTAAAAAACATCCCCATAGCATGATGCTGCCACCACCATGCTTCACTATTGGGATGGTATTAGGCAGGTGATAAGCGGTGCCTGGTTTCCCCCAGACATAATGTTTAGAATTGAGGCCAAATGGTTCAATCTTGGTTTCATCAGACCAGAGAATCTCGTTTCTCACAGTCTTGAGAGTCCTTTTTTGAAAACTCCAAGCAAGCTTTCAGGTGTTTTGCACTGAGAAGAGGCTTCTGCCTAGCAACTCTGCCATACAGCCCAGATTGGTGGAGGGCTGCAGTGATGGTTGTACTTCTGGAACTCTGTCCCACCTCTACACAGTATCTCTGGAGCTCAGTCAGAGTGACCGTAGGGTTCTTGGTCACCTCCCTTACTAAGTTTGCTCAGTTTGACCGGGTGACCAGCTCTTGGAAGAGTCCTGTGTTGGAAGGAAAATCCATCTTGTTCAATTCCAACCCGGGAGAAAGATCTGGAAATAAAATGGAGCCTGGAGACTGATTGGAAATAAGGTCCATTTATTGATGAACAGAACCACCAGAGTTCATGGTTCTGGAGCAGCCGACCAACCAACTGGGTGAATGGAAGGGTTCTTATATGGTTCATTAACTTTGAAGTTTGGGATTTGTGCAATATGGGCTTTGTGTTCTGAAAGGGTGTTGGGTTATTGTGGCTGATGGCTATGTCCTGTATTATATTTTTGAGTGGGGGCTGCTTGCTCTAATAATTAATTATATCATTCTGGTTTTGTTAGCTGTCAAAATTGCCATAAGGGGTTTCAAAATATCTTGTCTTGAATGAACTGCTGGCAGTATTTGCTTTGTTTATGAATGCAGCCATCTAGATAGTTGCTTTTTGTTTCTTGTTACAATTTTTTCTTTTTCTTTTATAATTGATTTTCTATTAAAAACATTTTGTAGTGCTTAATAAACATTGTGTTGTCTGGGTATTTAATGTGCTTAACGATACAAATTTATATTCTTAATCTTCACCCCTTTTTCCAGCTATTGGAAAAATAGATTCCTCTTTTACTTGTTCCTCCTCCATTTTATATTCCAATAGGTATTTGTAGGTTATCTTAATTGCTTTTTCATCTGTTCCTAGTAATATTTTATCTAATGTCATCAGTCCTTTCTATATGCCCCATTCATTTTTGTCTTTCTTATAGCGTAATTGGATTTTTAAGTATGCCCCCACATTCCAATTGTACTCTTTCTTTTAGTTCTTGTCTGGATTTTAGTTCCCCCTTTTTATTTAGTGTATCTTTATATGTAATAATTTTCCCCAAGTTGATAAAAGTTTGGGTGCACTTCTTACCCCTGAGTGTGCTAAACTTCTTCCATTTGAGAATTATGTAGGCCCCTGAAAAAAATTCAGTGCAGCAGTAATTTTATTGTAGCTTTCTCCCCATCTATGCCTTGCAATAATCCTGTCTCTGAGCTCTGCAGGCAGTTCCTTTGACCTCATGGCTTTTGCTCAGCTACAGTATACACTGTAAGCTGTGAGGCCTTTTATTGAGAAGTGTGTCCTTTCCAAATCATATCCAATTAATTGCATTTACCACAGGTGAACTCTAATCAAGGGGTAGGAACATGTTGCAACCATCAAGAGAAATGAGAGGACCTGAGCTAAATTTCAAGTGTTGTTGCAAAGGATCTGAATACTTATGCCAATGTGATATTTCAGTTTTTTCTTTTTAATAAATTTACAGACATTTCTAAAATTCAGTTTTCATGTTGTCGTTATAGGGTACTGAGTGTAGATGGATTTCAACAACTGTAGAATCAGGCTTCAGCATGACAAAAGTGAAGGGGCTCTGAATACTTTCTGAATGCATTGTATACACACACATATATCAATCACAGTCCATTTTGAATATATAGTGGAAAAAAGAGTCTTGAGAGTTATAGCATATTGATACTATGATAGCATATTGATACTATTATAGAATCTAGTTGTTCTGCTTTAGATACCATGAAACACCATCTTCCTCTAGTTAATAGTACTGTATTTTAAAAAGCAGTAAGACAAGGGGAAAATGTGGGTTTTAACAGCCATAGCATACTTTTGCTGACACTTTTATATCTTATAATGTGTATAGGAGCTGCAAAGGTCAGACTGCCTGTTTTAGGCATGTTTGCAGCAGGCAATCCTGCAAAATACTGAATTTAGAGAACTGAAGAAACAAAGCCAAATTTACCTTAGCATATAATTCTACATTAAATCAGATGTCTTAGAGCAAATTTAAAAGTGAGAGCCTCTTGGTCTTTGTGGATTAATCAACACAAGATCTAACACAAGAAACAATGTATTAGTGTAATAATGTACTAAATAAACATTAATATTAAAATAGCCTTAAAATTAGCAACGGTGGAAAGGAAGGAGCAAAATGTACACAAGGATGAGAGGGTCTTATCTCAGTGCGTTAATTACCTCCAGTTTGCCAATTGGCAGAATCATGATTTCAAGCTCTTTTGGGATGCTAAAAGGGTGGCTGCACACATTCTTAGGAGGAACAGTGTTCCAGAGGGTGGGAACCATGACAGAAAAGGCTCTTCTCTTGGACCCTGGCTGCAGAATAACTTGACTGACAGGGTTCACAGCATGCCCTTTCTGCAGGTATGGGTGGAGGCAGACCAATCCACCATTAGCTTGAGATGGTTCCTTAGGTAACATGGAGCCATAATTATGAAATATATTCATGTATCAAGCAGCACAATTAAGTTTAATGAAGTAAAAGTAAAGATTAACTTGAATCAACTTCAACTGATGATTCTGTGGGTTTATCTATGCCAGGGGTAGGGAAACTTGGCTGTTTTATCACTTATGGACTTCAACTCCCAGAATTCCTGAGTGAGCCATAAAAGGTTCCCCATCCCTGGCCTACTGGTTTTTCAGTTGTGGGGGAAATCAATTTTTGACTTGAATGGGACTGTTTCATATGCAAAGGTAGGACTTGAATGGGACTGTTTCATATACAAAGGTAGGACTTGAATGGGACTGTTTCATATACAAAGGTAGGACATATGTCCTACCTTTGTATATGAAACAGTCCCATTCAAGTCAAAAATTGATTTTCCCCACTACTGAAAAACCAGTAGGCCAGGGATGGGGAACCTTTTATGGCTCACTCAGGAATTCTGGGAGTTGAAGTCCATAAGTGATAAAAGAGCCAAGTTTCCCTACCCATGATCTATGCAATGCTTTGATTTTGCCAGTTGGCTTGGAACCACAATGGGGGTGCTCTTCACTGGAAGTGGTTGACATGGTAAGGAAAAGATCTCGTCCCAGTGCTGTCTGTCCTCTTGATTTTAGTTATTCTTAATTTTAATTGCTTTTATATTTACTTTTTAAAGCTTGCCTAGAATTGCCTTATTTATGAGATGGATAGCATATAAATGTAATCAATGAATCAATAAACGTTATTGGCAATAGTAAGGAAACAACTTCTTCCATGTTTCTCAACTTCCAAATCCAGCTATAACCCTTTCTTTTAATATCTCATCAGAGTACTAACCAGCCCAACCTAGTTAGTTTCCCAACCCACCTAATTTTGCCCAGATATTGCCACCTGTTCAGACATTAAGGTCAGATCTACCCAAAAAGAACTATTTAAAAATACACTTGTTCCAAGCAGCTTACTTTTATTAAAGCCATTTGAATGAAATGTAATACTTATGTACTGTGCAGTAGGTGGCAGTTGAATATAACTAAATTCTTGGGAAGGGTTTCTGTTGTTATATCTTCCATTACATGAAAATTCTCTAGAACCATTTAATGCACTGTTTTGGTTACTAATCAATGGTAAGCAAAATAGTTCAAACAACAAAGTATAAAAATTTCAGGTTATCAGCTGTTAAAATTCAAAAGTTACTGGCAGAGTGAGAAATAATGTTGAAATATTTCAGTATTACAGATGTTTATAATGTGCATTCAATGCAGCATGCAATAAAAGAGGAGGTAGCTGTGTTGGATATGTTCACTAAATTGAGTTATTTGTAAAAGTAATAAGGGGGTATAAATAAATAAAAATATTCAATTGAACTTGAGCTAAGTAAGATTGACTGTAGCAATTATTTTGTAAAGACTGGCATTTTGATTACAGTAGCAATGGTGCACCACAGGAAAATCTGAGGAACCAGTTTTGGGACAGATCTTTTATAGTTGCTAAGATTCCACATCAATTTGATGGTCCTTAATCAAAGAGAAAGATGCTAAATTCATATAGCAAAATAATGTATTTGACTGTTGACATGTCCTTTGAAGAGAAACAACAGAAAAACATCCTAACTATTGATTATGTTTCTGTTGCTATTGTTGTATTTCATCAGAAACACTAAGCTAGGCTCCAGGAAGTAACTGTATAGTATTGAAATAAATGAAAAGGTTGCCATTATTCAGTGCAAACTCCTATGCAACAGATGGAACCAAATTGATTCAGTACTAAAGTAACTGGCATAACAGAATTACCAACATTTAGCATGGGAATTTGTAACTTGAGTTATAGTGATTCTGAGCATAACATGGAAATGTTTGTCTCAAACGAATTCAATCAACATTTTCTGGTATCCACTTTTGCAACAAGTATTTGTTTAGGAGCAATAATCTGATTTATAAAAATGTTTGCATACCACTTTTAACTAGATGTCTTCTGACCATGATTTTTGAAATACACAATTAGCTTGCCCCAGAGTGGTAGCTGTATTTAAGAGTTGAAATGTTGAAAATTTTTAGCTCTTACATTTTTCTCCATTCCAGAGATGCCTTAAAAAAATGAGGTTTATAAAACTCCCGCAAGTACTAAGCAAGTAGCTGGTCTTTAAACCACAATATTTTTTGTTGATCTTGCTACATGGGTCACATGAGAATATACCCCATTACTTTATTCTGTTTCTCTCTTTGTCTTGGATATTAATGTAATTCTATTCTCACCACCCACTTTCTTTCCCTATAGCTATTGTTGCTCTCATAGGAATTTTCTGCATTCATCGGTTGAAATGGCTGTGATCTGTGAAAACTTATGTGATAATCAAATTGGCTAGTCTTTAAGGTACCACAACTCTTTATTTTTACCATTGTCCATTCTGCCAGAGGAAGGTAGTTAAAGCTCAGAAATGTGTGAGGTCTCAAATGGAGGCAGAATGCTATTATACTCCTTTAATACGGTCCGTTTTTCATGTGCAAAAGTGCCACTTTCAGATGACCTCACAGGGATTGTGGGAAATTATCTAGGAGAGGAATGAATCTTATTCCAGCTAACCAAAGAACGGATGGGAAAGAATAAGAAGCAGTTTATTTTACAGATATATTCCACTGAGTAAAAACAAGTTATGCTGCTTGACTGCTCTTTAGAACTATATAGAGTTGGCTACTTGCTAAAACAATAGGGGTCACAGGTGAAAATATGTAGTCTATGCAGTCTAATTTCCATGACAAAAACACAACACAATAAGAGTTCTTTCTGTAAGAGTGCAAAGACTGGAATAATAAGGTCATGACAGGTCAAAATTGAGATGGCTTGGAAGAAAGAGAAGCTAATGCAGGCCCCAATCTTAGATACAGTTATGTGAGAAATTTTAAGGATGCCCTGCAAAATCTACTCATGAAGAAGTGATTATTACTGGATTTACCTTCTGATTCTAACTATATTTTGTTAAAAGATTCCAATAAGCTAACTTGACACCGGCCATGTTCACAATTTCTTTTTAATTCAAGTGATTAAAAACAAACAAAACCAGAAAGTTTTTTTTCTAAAACATGAGCAACATATTTGCTATTGCATAGAACTGCCTTTTCTGTGGTTGCCTCTACCTTGTAGAACACCCACTCCCCAGTCATCTGGCAAGGCCCCAACCCTTTTAGCCCTCTGGAAGACTATCAAGACTTAAGTTGGCTCTTTACCCAGGCACCGTGGTAGAGTGGTGAGAAACTGAATAGTTGTTGAGGCATCCTAGGCTGATCGAGGCACTGGGTTTTTAGGTTGGGCTTTTTTTTCTTTTTTGCTGTCATTTGAGTCAGTTATTACTATATTTTTATCCTTCCGTTTTATAGGAAGTGAATATATTTCATGCCCTGCCTCCTGTTTTCTCCAAAACAACAACCTTGTGAGATGGATTGGGCTGAGCAAAAGTTACTGATCCAGTTACCTTGTGTCTTTCCAGCCTAAAGGAGGCCTAGAACTCCATCTTTCACTACACTAAACTAGCTCTTTTTAGTTTTATGGTTTTGAAGTTTGACTGTTGTGAACCATTCAGTTATGCTCTGTGACGGCAGACATAGAAATCTCTTAAAGAAATGACATACAGTAGTGTTTAACCCAGTACTATTTAACTATTCCAGATATTAAATATGTGGGAACACTTTATATATATAAATGAAGTTTATTAAATAATAAAAAACATGTCTGACTTCCATCAATAATTTGGTAAACCTCATGAACAAGCTAAACACAGTGCTAAACAAGGTTCTTTACTAGTCATTTGCTTTAGGACTGACAACAAGAGAATGGCATGTGGTAGGTAATTGAAACAACCAAGAATAATATGTTTCATTGAACAACACTTTTAAAACTTCCACTTAGCGGGATAAGAGGGATAAGACGTTATTCACTCCCAGGAAAAAGTCTTGATGGGATTACAGACAAAATGCCTCATTTGGAAACAAATTCTTTTGGGATTAAATGAAAAAGCCAATACTCTCGCCGGGCTATCATTCCTGGATTACAAAACCCCGGAACCACCAAAGGGAAGTTTAATTTCCCTCCTCCACCCCGCTTTTCGCGCCGTGAGCTCCAAGCCTTCCGCAGCAACAGCGAAAGGCGCGCCTTCCTCACTCCCGCCGGCAAGACGAACAACCCGCCATTAGGAAGACCGGCCGACCACTCCCACTCTCCCCCCTTTTTTGGCCCGGAAGGAGTTGCCTGCTTGGCCTCGGAAGTTGTCTTGGGCAGGGTCCGGCCCAGAGCGAGGCCTGGCTGCTATTCTTGGAACTGGAATTCCGGCTAATCCAGGCAGGGGTGGACCCCGGTCGGTTGTCTCTTAGCCACCTGTAAGCCAGTCGACCTCATGAAAGAAGGTGAGGGCGGAATCTCTCTCGGTGGCCGTTTTTGCTGCTTCTTCCTCGGTTCCCCGCCACCTCCGGGTGCTTTCACTGGTTTAGATTTTTTTTGTGGGGGGGTCTAAGGTTGCTTTTTCGGCTGGACTTTGAACGAGGAAGGGGGGGGGAACAGTTGGCTGCAGGAGCCGTTGTTCCCTTCTTCTGTCCGGTGGGAGGAAGGCTCGGGGCGAAGGGAAGGAGGCGCCCCTTTCCTGCCTGCCCCCGAAGTCGGGGAGCCCTGGCGAAGGCTGCGGTCCGAGGCGAGTGGGGGGCTGTTGGTACCGGTGGCCTGACAAGGCTCGAAGGGGAGTGGGCGACAGCGGAGACGGCAGGCGGGAGCGTTGATATTATAGCGCGCTTGTGTTATTTCTACGAACGTCTTGACGGGTGTCGGCGAGAGCTGATGTCTGTGAAGTTCCGCTCCGTCGTGGCTGGAGATGCGCTGACTTGGTTTGCATTAGCTTTTCCCGAGTTGGTGCCGTCCAGATGCGTTTGACATTATGCCGTCCTTCATCTCCAGATCTCAATGGGAATGGATATTCAAAGACCTTCGGGCGATAGCAGTTCGGCTTCGACGGTCGCTCTGCTCTCACCAAGCGAGTCGTTCCAGGGGCGCCGCCTCAGAAGTGTTGGTGTTGAGCCTTCTGTGGAAGCGGGAGGGATCCCCGAGGAGCAGTTTGATGTCCGGTTTTGCAACACTTGCTTAACCCAACCCAGACATATCACATTTTGGTATAGGAGGAAACAGTGCTTTTTCCCACCCTTATTAATAAGAAACAAAGTGCGGTTCTGGGAAACCGGGCTTTAACTGGGGCTGATAAATAGAATTTGGAGTTGGCTCCTTGTCTGTGTGCTTGTTCTTGAGTTATTCTGTTTTCGGGGTTTGAAGAGCATGCATATCCAGATTTTAAAACAATCAAAATAACTTTCAGTTTGATGACTGCCTTGGGGAAAAAAGATGGCAGACCTTTTATAGAACCCTGTAACTAGAAATGGTGGAACAGAATACAGATTGCAGAATACAGATTGTACAGGTTCTTGTTTAAGAGAATATTTGTTAGCACTGGCAAAATGGGACAACAATTTTCTGGGGAAATCCATAAGGCATTCTGAGCCTAGCAATTTTTTTTACATCAAACACTGTCAAGGGACGCTTTTAAAAATTATTTAAATAGGTACAGCTTTTAATATAAGCAATTTTATTTGTACAGTGTGAAATTTTAAGCATGCCTCTAGATCTCCTAGGTCCCTTACATATTTTTCACAATAACTCAGTATTACAGTCTTCTCTTGTGAGCCTGCAAGCTAGCTACCAAATAAATTCTAAATGTGTATAGATCTAGTAAAACATTCAACTAGGTTTTCAGAATATTTCCTGATACATTTCCTGATACCCAAAAGGATTCTTTTTCAGTCAATATGGTCTAAATAAATTACATTTTATTTTCTGCATATTTCTTTTCAAAGGTGCCAACTTAGATTGAGCAAGGTGGTTATTCCCTCCTCTCCCAGAACTATAAACCTGTTAGAGACCACTGTTTTGCAATTTCATTGGGAGGAGCAGCTCAATGGAGCACTTATGGACAATTGCAAAGAGCATTCAGCCACATTTGTCAGCTTTGCTTTTTTTACAGAGCTGTCTTTGGTTTCCCATTTCTTCCTGCATAAATATGTTACTTTTCAGGCTAAGACAAAATGCTTCACATTGATTAAATAAAAAAGAGTAAGATTTACAAATTAAAAAGAATGGGAGTTGAGGGGGAAAAGAATAGCAGAATTTTATCTGATAATAGTCAAACAAAACAACAGGCCTTCAGCGTGCCTTTATTTCCAATTTTGATTAGATTTTTTTTTAACCTGATAAGAGAGAGCGTCACTTCCCTGTGGCTTCTTCCTCTGGTTAGTGGAAAAGATTTGATTTGCTTTCCTTCAGGTATGCAGCCATAAGAGAAGTGGCAGTTTAATGTAAATAGAGATGTTCTTATGATTAGTACATTCAACATACTAAGTTAAATGTAGTTGGCTAATTTTGTTTCACTTTTTAATCTAACACTTCTTGTAATCATAGTACATAATTTGGTTCACACAGGCAGACATTTTTAAACAGTGAGTTACAATTTTGGGGGGGCGGGATTGTAAACAAATTGGGAAGGTCACTGGTTTTTTTTCAAGATGATCAGGCTTATGCAGATTAAGTGGGAATGCTGTCAACATTCATTCCATGCTTTGATTCTACTTTGCATAGTAACTTTTATTCATGAAGTCACACAATCATTTATTATTTTAGTGGGTCACAGTATCTCAAAGTCTGAGAACTCCTGTCATATGAATAGAATACCCTAACTTTTCTGCTACTTTTTCCTTAAGTCTATAATCTTATTTCATATATTCTTGGATAAGATTTACAGTACTCAGTGGTCATATAATAGAGTTAAAATATCTAAGATGTTTATAAGTTGAGTTTTGAACATTTTTAAAAATACTGTCTACATTAAAATAAGTTTTAAGTAAAGTGCTTTTTTGCAGAATAAAAAATCAAATAACTTTTTGCATCATATCTTTAAGAAAGACTGCAGAAATCTTTTATTAGTTTTCTTGAACCTAATAAGCAGAAGTATTTTAAAATGCTTCTATAATCTTTAATTTGCTTAGTTCATGATATTGTTAAATATTTTATTCTATATTTTTTAATAATTACATTGTAATTCCGCTGAAATTATATAAGAAATATTGAAAGTTAGTATACCGTTTTTAATTTTAAAAATGCATGTTATTATAAATATTAGTACATTAAATACTTTTATTTCATTTACATTTGAAATAAAAGTATTTAATGTACTAATATTTATAATAACACGCATTTTTAAAATTAAAAACGGTATACCAACTTTCAATATTTGAAAGTTGGTATGTATGCACACATACACATTAATCTGATTTGCACAGAATTTATGTAGTTTATTTGATCTCCATCCTATATGAATTGGAAAATCCTTGCCCTGAACTTGATGTGGCAGACTGTATTGCACTCGAGGGAGGTTGTTATAACAACAGAAATCCTTATGCTCCAATTTAATGGTTTGTGGAATTTTTAAGAAACTGGAACAATACTTTCCTAGTACTGCAGACTCTGTCTACATCCCAGATCATTTCCAACAGTGCTCAGAATTATTTCTGAGGGGTTTCTTTTTTGTCTTTTGCAACTTTATTGTATACAACTGTACTTAAATAAATTCTGCCAGGGGTTTATGGCATATGTAATTTAAGTCGTAAAATAAAATGTTAAAATATAGGTGAACAATGAGAAAATGTCCTATTTTCCTATGCTGGGGGTATAGGAGGACTAATGCCTCATGATGTGTCCAATTTGCTGTAAAGCCCAATAACAACTGGGCAGATGTCTCAATATGGGTGTCAACTCATAAAACATAAAATGCCCAGGCTAATGCCGGCATGTTAACTTCTAATAAATCCTTTCCAGTTGTGGGAGTGTGGCTCGAGGCTCATGATTTAATTGGAGTAACTGCCAGAATCCTGACAATGGGAAGGAGCCATTTTTTGCCTCTAGTATTATTTTGTCTGGCAGCTATGCGAGGTTGAGTGTTACTTTCCTTCCTTTTCCTTGGGGAGTTTGAACTCCATTCCTATGCTATGCTTCTACCTTGAACCCCAAGAAGTAAAAGCTGTTATCGGTGTTTGGATGATCTAGTTCCTGACTTTGGCTGTTTTTGAAAAAGACTTTATTTTTCTGAATGGATTTTGAATCTCCAGGCTAAAAAGAGGGCTGAGAAAGCTTTAAGGCAGGGGTCAGAAACCTTTTGGACCTCAGGGACCACCATCCCGAGGACCACTAATACGAATTTTTAGAAAATATATATATATTTATATTTATTTATATATATATATATATAAATTTGCTCCAAGACCAATCAACACAGACCAAGACTCCCAACCAATCAGGATGAAGAAAAAACCATTCTGGCACAGCTGTAGGCTAGCCCCAAATTTAAAACAGAAACGGCTGTGAAAGCCTGACTCACAGACGAACTCAATACAGAAGCCTGATGATGGCAGATGAGATTCTGCCGAAACTTCGCTACAACAGGCTAATCTCTCATCCTTTGGGGGGGAAAGAGAGAGGATTTAATACTGCTGGGATTCAAAAGAAGCCACATGGTGCCTGGAGGCTAGGAAGATCTGGACGGGGAGGAACCGGCTCCCCCTCAAACAGAAGAAAAGCAGAGCCCCCCCCAATCTGGTCATTTCATATCTCCCCCAAGTCAGAGGAAACCTCTCCCTCCTTTGCCAGCTGCCTGGAATTGGGTGAGGGAAGGTGGGCCGGGCTGGAAGTGCTGAGGAAGACAGACTCCTAATAAGCAGGCAACACCCCTCCCTTCGGCCTCCACACAAGAAGAGGACTCCCCAAGGCTAAGCTCCAGTTTCTCCCACCACTTCCAAGCAGAGATGGGTCCCTCCCTATGTGGAGGCCGAAAGGACAGTGTCAAGGCCAGAAAAGCTTGAGCTCTCACCTGCACAAACAGACTGGTTATCAGGAGCCCGTCTTCCCCTGCGCTCTTTTGGTCTGGGCATTTGTTCTCCTCCGCCCCATGCCAAAGGAAAGCCAGCCGGGCTTCTCCTTCCCTCCTACCCTTCCCCCTGCTCCTTTCCCCCCCACTCAATCCTACTTCGGGACAGAGGAGAACACATGTGTATTGGAATTTCCAACATGCATTTCTCCAGCGCTCGCCCACAATTCTTTGTGTTCCTCCAGGCCTGGCTTGCTGAGGGGGAAGAACAGCCCTGACGTCTCTGCTGACCGCGCCCCCCCCCCCACGGCCCCAGCCATCGCTGCCTGGGGATAGCACAGGAAAAGAAACCGAGCAGAAACATAGCTCTTGCTGGGGCGAAAGAGCGGAGATCAGGGAAGGCACAGGCAACAGAAAGTGGCCCTTTTCAAAGGCGGCAGCTTCCGTCTTCTC